AATTACAATCCGATTCCATTCAGACTGTACCAAGATGATTTTCATTAAGACTTGGTCCATATCAATATTTCCATGAGCACAAGATCTGTTAGAAATATGATAGAGATCGGGCCATTTCTTCTGGTGTCTCCCTCACATGGCGTTCAAGATTTTGAAAAACAAAACGCTCATAGAAAGCGAAATAAGCACCCAACTGCCTTCAAATTTCACACAAGCAAACATTTTTGCCAACACAAGATCTGTTGTGAGGATGATATATATCTGCGGACCCCTTCTTCACAGTTTTTAACACTTTTATCGGTCATAGCTTGCGATACAAGTCAGCGATTCTTTACAACTTGCTATATCTAAATATTTCCCTCATGAAGATGGAATTTATGATTTCCCATAAAATGGATATAAATGTTGGTTTTTCTTATAATGTATTGAATTAAGTATGAATGAAAAAGGAATACTTCGGTCGACTATATCTTGTACCTGAAGTATATTTTAACAATTTCTAAAAATTCTCACATATCCCATATAAGGTGAAGGAAATAACCAATATAGTCAAAACCTGGCACGGCGCAATATTAATATCATCTTTATTTAGGTCCTACAAGTCAATACTCCCCAAAAATATAATAGTCACATGTGCTACTTTCCACATTACTATTAACGAATACTGAATACACACTGCCTTACCTGTAAGTACATTTACAAAAAAAGGAAGTTTGCCTTAATGAGTTCTTTTGTGGTTATTATCAATAGAAGTTTTCTTTAAAAAATCATTTTTTCATTTTCTTTAAAAAAATTCATTTTAATACAAATGAGAAGAAGTCCCACTTTTTTGTTTCAAATAAAAAACAAATAACCAAACTATCGATAACCTCACCAACAACAACAATTTTTTCACCAAAATTGGACAAAAGGCAGAAGAGTGTGGGCATTTTGCTCAATTCGATAGTTTGCAAAATTTCATTTCAAAGTGAAAGTAATCGACCGAATTAATTAATGAATTTACGAAAAATTCAAATTCAATTTAGTACTCTGCAAAACTAGACAAGACTCAAATCAAAATATCTACAACTCTTCTATTATACCGCCTCTGTCCGGTTTACAGCCACTACATTTGGGAATGGCATAGCTGGGGATTTAATTACCATACAATAGTCGGAAAACAACACAAAAAAATAACTAATTAGTTTTAATTTTAAATAGGGTCAAAATAGTAGAAAAAACAGACAACAACAAAAGCCCTGGCCGCGGATGCTTTGAACCAAATTTTAGCTGCCATTGTCTTCTTGGCCGGGAGAATACAGAAACAAAAACCGTTGGCTGGATACGTTCTGTTTTTATGGTTTTGAAATTTTTAGATTTTTAATACTCGCACTGCAATGATTTCAGTTCTGAGATTTTTTGTCTGCCTCCTCCCCACTCCATTAAACTGGCCAGCGTTGGCCGGTCGTTGTTCCAAACCTGTGTCTAATGCATTGTTGTCTGGCCAAAGGGATGCCGGCAACGGGCCAGGGGAAAGTGGTTTAATCTCCAGTTTGAGATAAATGTTTTCTGTTGTCTGCCGGAGCTCAGCGCCAACGTTAACAACGACCACAACAATAGCTCAGCTTTGTTGTCTCGTCGTCATTAGAGTGTCGTGTCGTGACGCGTCGCATCGCCTCGCATAGCGATTTTTGTTTCCTACGCACAGCTCTGTCTAATACCTACACAAAGTTTGTTTCGTCGCCACAATCGGTTTTCAAATTTTTATTGATGTGTTTTTCGCCTTTTAAAGTTTGAAACAAGTTTTGAGTCTTTGTTTCTTTTAGTGTGTTTGCATACACACGTATGTGGTTGAGTGAGTTTGTATAGCAAAGTGGTTGGGTTGAGGTGTTTGGTATGATAAGTGTTAGAGATGGTTTGATAATTTGAAATCTGTTAAGGTTTCAGAAAAACGTGCGACATTTTAGAGTGGCGAGAAAGATCAGAGGGTGTATTTTAGAAGGTAGGGAGAAAGACATTTGCAAAGAATATATTTACAGCTGTGGAGTATTTTCACGGATTGCGTAGACGGAGTGCTTGACTATCTTTTCACTGGTTATCCTTTAATTTGAAGGTATTTAGTATAACGTCGAAGATGATCAGTTACATCCCAAGATAAATCGGGAAATCGGGAGCATACCATGGGACGATACTTCCTAACTTTGACGGTAAATATGACGTCTTAACTTCCCAGTTTAAAGCTTGATGCCAATTAACAAATCTCCAATCGAAGCTTTTTTATACCCTACAACACTGTGTGTTAGATAAGTTTGTTCGAAATATTGGTCCTATATATAGGATGTTATATATAGATCTTCTTATCTCGTCGAGCTGAACCGATCTAGCTATATATGTCCGTCCATATGTCCATATTAATTTGTAATCAAGCTACAGGTCGCAGTTATGGGCCGTCCCGAAATTTAGCATGAAAATAGGCGTTTATAGAAGTTTTAGGGATTGAAATGGACCAAAAACAGAAACATTTACTGATTTTGCATTTTGATCGCAAATATAGACCAGTCGACGCGGAGTTTAGGATGAGACTAGAGTCTAGGACTGGGTAGAAGTCTATCATTATACCCTCAGTGATATGGCTAGAGAGGGTATACATCATTTTATATGGTCAAAACGTGCCTAGGCGAAATTACGGGTTTTACTAGGTCTCTTTGTACCAAATCCGTTTCAGGACATTTGGAATCAATCTAGCGATGTCCGTCCGTCTGTCTCTCTGGCTGGGCGCACGATAACTCTTAAAGGGAGTGTCCGATTTGGTCCAAACATGGCACATCGTAATATGATTATCAAACTTAGATCGAGTTTGGAGATGGGCAATATCAGTCCACTCCTTATGATACCTCCCCCACAAAAGGTCGAAATTTTTTAAACAAAAAAATATTTTCTGCCCAGGAAGAGAAATGATAATCCCATTTTGCTCTAACTTTGCAAATCCTATATTTTCATCAGTGCTAGGTGAGGTGCGAAATCGGTTCACTCCAATATGTACCTCCAACACAAAAGATCAAAAGTTTGAATAATTATTAATCTTATTAATTAATCTTATAAAATATGATCAAATTTCAGGATTTCAGCTTTTTTCCTTCACCCAATATTAATGTATTAACATTAAGTACGATTATAGTACGTATTTCCATAACCAGCTATTTCACACAACTACGGACGCCAACAATGACATACGTATTAAATTTCAGGATTCCAATTGTATCTCTTCACCCAATACCCAATTTGGTACTATTTACTACTTATCGTACAATTATTGTACACATTTCCAAAACCGTCTCCATACCTCAATACCAGATACCAACAGAGACCTCAATCTACATCTCTCCATCCTAAACACCTACAGTGATCCAAAATTAACACCATTTAGTAATTTGCAATCATAGTTCGCATTTGCAAAACCACCGCCATATCCAAATTCCAGATACCAACAGTAACCTGAACACAAAATTCAGAATTTCAACTCTATCCCATTACCCAGTACCAAATGTAGTAACATTTAGTACACTCAGCTACGGACATCAACAGTGACATCCATATTCAATTTCAGGATTCCAACTCTATCCCTTCACCCGATACCCAATTTAGTACCATTTAGTACTTATCGTACAATTATTTTACACATTTCCAAAACCACCTCTATATCTCAATACCAGATACCAATAGAGATCTTAATATAAATTTTGGGGATTTCAGCTCTATACCTTCACCTAATCCCCAATTTAGTATCACATAATACTTTGAGATAAATAATATTACACATTTCCGAAACCACCTCCACATGTCCAGGCTACACATGAACAGCTACCCTGATACTAAATTTCAGATTTCAAGCACTATTTGTTCACCCAATATCAAATTGTACCAAATAAAGTACTATTTAGTACTTTCCGTGCACTTGTATTTCTCATTTCCAAAACCAACTCTTTATCACAAACCTGCTACCAATAGAGATCCCAATACAAAATTTTAAAATTCCAGAAATTTAGTACCATTTAGGACATTTCGAACCCTTAGTACACATTTCCAAGACCACACTCATGTGTCAAACTTACATGCCAACATTAATTCTCATACCAAATTTCAAGTTTTTAGCTCTATCCGTTCACATAATACCAAATGGTACCGTTTTAGTTGTTTAGTACTATTATAGAACTTTTAGTAACCTTCAAGTTCGAATTTCCAAAACCCCATTGGTATCCCGCACTTAATCAGTGACTCTCATTTCAAATTCTATTTAGCTCATTTTGTTTGTCCACTACAAAGTATTCAATTTTTATATATATGTAATATATTACTTTTCGTACCCTTTTAGTACGGGTTTCCAAAAAGGAAGCCTTATCACATGCCCACGCACCAATGCGATGGGATCTTAATTTTGTAGGAAGTTCTGATTTGGCTGTTATTTAAGTTTTAGCATTATCAAAGTTCAGAAAAAGATTTTAATTGCATATAGACGTATGATAAATATTTTCAACTTTATTGCTCATACGCAACATGATACGGGGGGGGGGATAATTTAAGGAAATAAGAAAAATCAATCATACGCCCTTTCATTCTTTTGACTCGATGACAATTTTTCTGAGATTTTTTCTCCGATCTTGGCATTTTCTATCTTCCCAAACATATTACACTCCCTCTCTTTGGCTTTCATGGAACTACAAATATTTAAAGCTAGCTTATACGCTCACGCGCTCTTCTAGTCGAAAGTAATTATTCCGGCGCTTATTCTATTGGAGGAGACCTGGCTTGAGTTGTGTGTTAGATGGGGATGATGATTTTTTAGCTGGAGTGAAGAGTAGGAGGATTGGTGGCAAACAAATTCGATTGTTTTTTTTTTGTTTTCATTTGAGCTGAGCTGCTGCTCAAAACCCACTTGCAAGCTGAAGTCGCAGCGAATCTGCAGCGGCGATGATAGCTGCTGAAAACGCTAACAGAATACAGGTTGAAAATAGCTCCAGCTGAACAAAAATGATCAGTTCAATTTTAGTGCTGGTACGCGACGGTCGATTACTCTTCCGAATATTAAGTAATTTGTAAAAAAAAAGAAAGAAACAAGAAGAAAAAAAAAAAACAAGAAGAAAAAAAATAAAAGAATTCTAATTTTTTGTGAAAAGAAAAAAAGAAGAGGAAGAAGAAACAAGAGAATTAGAAACAAAACAACTCAAAGTTATAATTAATGACCCAAGTGAAGGCAACTACTACAACAACAACAGCACTGAAAGAGTATTAATGAAAATTTGAAATAGTTTTCTTTTGGAAATTAAATCAAGAGTGTGAGAAAAAGTGAGAGAGAGAGAAAAAATAAGAGTGAAAATTCCCATTTGAGAGCGGAAAAATCAAGCTAACATTATTATGGCCCATCTTAGAAAAGAGTATTTTGAGCGAATTTCTGTGTTGTTTGTGTGATAGAAGTTAGCATTTGTTGTTGCTTGGTTGTGTGTTTGTTGGTTTGTGTGTGTATTTGATTTTTCATTCGGTCGGTCGTTCGTGTCTGATTGTTAAGTTAACAAAACCAAATTATTAGTGTATTTTGTACCTTGATAGCGTTTTGGTTCCAACGACCGACCGACCGGGTACGTTATTAGCTAAGCGCTTATTTTTTGTTGTCATCATCGTCGTTGTCGTCGTCGTGGGTCTCGTATGTGATGATGTGTATCATTTGAATGCGTGTATGTGTGTTTGTATACGGTTCGGCTGTGACTAGTGAATAATATTTAAAAATAAAGCATTCCGACATTTGGCTGTGTTTTTTCGCGTTTTTTTTGTGTATTTCCCTCAAAGTAATCAATAAAAAGAAATTATATTTTAAACAAACCTTCAAACGACAAAAGGCAACATCAGGCCAACGAATAGCTAAGCATTTAAGAATATTAATTTGATTTATTTTTTTTGTGTTTTCTTTTTCTTCGAACGAAATTCTTTAGAGAATTAAACGAAATATAAAAAGTTTTTTAAACGAACTTGAAACGAAAAAGTGATATTTTTAAAAAAGAAGAAATTTTAATAAAATAACAAATTAAGAAAGCAATAAAAAAGTAATAACATAATAAAAGTATTGGAATAATATTGATAATAAAAAAGAATAATAGAAAAAAAAAAAATACTAAAACAGAATAATTGCCCAGTTGGAAAAGTTTTGAAAATTAGTAAAGCAGAAAAACAATAACGAAATGGTCTCAAAAAACGCCAAAAAGAAGCAGCAACAGCAAACAACTAATGGCTCCTCAACATCATCATCATCCACATCAGCAACAACCGTGCAGACAGTTGGAAATCCTGGCATATCCTCCACCTCAAGGGGTGGCAGGTCGACACACAAGGATTTGCAGGCCTCAACGGCCGGCGATTTCTACGGCATATCGTCGGGCAGCAAAACCTACAAGGCATCGTCCAGTAAAAAATCATCTGCCATGACCAGCGAAACCAGTGTCATCAATGAAACCGGCCTAACCCAATCATCATCATTCTCCTCATCCCAGTATCACGCCGAGGCCATGGATGAATTTTCCTCCACAAGTGGAAAAATCATCTCATCCATTGATCTGGTCAGTGAGAGTGCCAGCCAAGAGCCCGTATTCTCGGTACCCATAGATGTGGTGGAAATCAACAATACGGCAGCGGCCAATACCAAACAACAAATGTTCTCCAGCTCATCGAAAATGATGTCTTCGTCCTCCTCCAAATCTCAACAGATATCCTCTTCTTCAAGCTCCACAAAGGCTATTCTCTCCGCCGATGGCTTGGGGGATGGTGGCGGTCAGATTGTTGAGGTTGAGTTCCAACCCGAAACCGTGATCATTAAAGATGAATCAATGGCCACAAAACAAGCTTACCAGTCAATTGCCAAAACGATAAATGGTGCTACTGAAATGACATCATCATCGATGTTGTCAAGCCAGTTTAAGGCCAACGAGTCTGTTAATGGTCAGACCATAAATGAACAGAATCACTCCAACACAGAATATTCTTCGTATTCCACACCGAATTATAACAAACTGCCATCCATGGATGGTGGTAATACAATGCTCTTAAATTCACCCACAACCGGCGGGCAGCAGCCATATCAGGTCACCATGCCCATAACACCCACTACCTCGGATTCGAAGATAACTCAACAAGATTTACAGAGCACAACCAAGTCTTCCACAAATGAATTTATCAGCAGCAGCAGTAGTAGCAACATACAACAACAACATATAATTGATCACCAAATTAACACCAACAGCAACAATTATAGCAGCAAGGAGATAACCGAATCCACCACTCAAGAGAGTTTGAGCAAGAAGAGCACCTCCGTCAACAAGAAAGAGATATACGACATCAAAACCAAAACATGGACTGAAATAAGCGACGATCTGAGCACGGCCGGCATCAACAAGAAGCAACCGTCGTACGAACGCTTCGTCAGCCATGGCCAGGATGGCACCTGTAAGGTGACTTACAAAAAGAAAATCTACGATCAACGCAACAATCGGTGGCGCGTCGTTGAAGAGAAAATCGTGGATAATGCCCACGACACTGGTTTCCCCGAAATAGCCGATGATGTCATTAATACAACACGTACCACATACACGACCAAAGTTTACGACTCTAAGCTCGGTCAGTGGAAGGTGGTCGACGAGAAGTCGTTTGTGGATACCAAAGCTTATGTACCGCAAGATATTGCTCGTGAAATTGAAAAAGATAATACAGATGTTGCCAATATTACGACAACAACGGAGATAACCAAGGTGAGTGCAAGAGAGAGAGAGAGATAGAGAGAGTTAGTTTTTAAGAGATTGGTGAGCAATTTCGAGTTTTTTTTTTAAGAGAAGTGTGGTAATATAAAATTTTAGTTAGGCAAAGTGTGAAGTGAAATGAAATCTATAAAAAAATTAAATTAAAAACAACAGGGGTCACAGTGGCAGAGATTTTACCAAATTAAATACGTCAATAAAATAAATAAATAAATTAAAATAAAATATTTGTCCTAGATAATAATGTCAAAAATTTTTCAAAAGGGATTTATTACACGCCAAAAGTCTAAATCTTACCTAAACGCTTCGAATTCATATATATCAAAAACATTTCAGGGTTAAATCAATACTTTTGTGATTTTGTGCAAACGGACCAAAATTCGTGTAATTTAAATATCTCTATCAAATTTAAAAACTCTATCTTAAATATTGCGAAATACAGGGTGAGATAAAAAACTGCAACAAAGTCAAACCCCATAATTTTTACATTTAGTTTGTCATCAACTTTTACAATAAGTTTAGATTTGCTCGAATTGGTCACCTTTGGCATGAATTACGGCCTTTAAGCGGCCAATGAAACCGTCACACGCTGCCCGAATTTGGCTCTGCGTTATTTTGGCCCATTCTCGGCGAATCGCTTGCTTGAGGTGATAGACACTTTGGTATTTGTTAGTGCCAACCTTGCTTTTCGAAATACTCCAGACACAATGATCAAATGTCGATTAATACGAGCGGAGAGCGACCTTCGGCTGTTATGGCGGCCCTCACCATGGCCCGCCGGTGGCCAATCGAAGGTGCACATTTTCAGCTGACCTCTTTGGCAAGTAAACACGATCATTTTGTTTGTTTACAAGCTGCTCGAAAACGATTGTTTTCTCATCGGAGAAAACCAAATTCGGCCAAGCGAAGCAACACTCTAGCTCTTTTGAGTCTATTTTCTTTCTGTTGCGGTGTAAGTTCTTACACTATTAGGAATTTCAATGGCTTTTCCCCGAGCTCATTTTTCAATATTTGCCGAATGGAATATTGCGATATGTTCAGCTCACGAGCCATTTTTCTGGAGTGCTCTAACGATAGCCACTTGTGGTTTTCTAGCCAAATATAAATAAATCACACTATCACGCTTGAATTCCATCACGAATAAGTTTTTTTTCTGGAAAATGCTTTTGTAAGCTTGTAAATAATATAATGAGTTGTTACTGGAATAATTTTAACAGCTGCCGGACGAGTGGCTTAGAAATGACAGCAATCTTAAGTTGGTTGCAGTTTTTTCATCTCACCCTGTATATATAGTTTTGATTGAGGGCAAAAGGCATTCATGACGACTTAACTTATGTGCTTTTTTATGCCCATAATCATATGATAGGTATAAATTATTTTGTCATCCGTTTCTAACATCACAAATTTTTCTTTGGAAACTCAGAGAGTAAAATTCTACGTCAATTAAACGATGTCCGTCTGTCTGCCCACCCGTCCCTTGAGGTCATCATAGAGGTCGCATGATTTAAGATATATGTTTGTATCTTTGCATCGGCAGGTATATCACTCCCCCTTCAGGTGTAGCCCACAAATAATTCCACTATCTGACACTCGTCATTTTGCATGTTTCTTTCACTTTTCGACCGAATAAGTTTTAATTTTTAGATTTGTGAAATATTTTCCGCGACAATTTTGGGGTGTCCAAGTGAAAATAAAAATTGATTTTTCAAGCCAACTATTTAGAAAATGTCTAACAACTTACTAGACTACTTTGGTGTGTTGGTTTTGGTTCTTTTCGGCACAATCCCTATACAACGATATTTGCAGATTTGAACCATTTTCATGTATTTCAGTATAGAGGATATAAATCTACCATTTGATATTGCTCTTACATAACGTAAATCCTAATATCCGACACTTCACTGTTCTCAATCCAATCTTCCGACAAAATGGTCTGCAATTTTACTTTTGTATTATTCGATAAAAGTTCACGTTTAGATTTAAGCTTTCCATACATGTGATGTTGGATTCAGGATCGAATTCACAACTATCAAAGAATTGTGCACTAATTTGATTTTCTTCGATTTTTTTCATATAAATTGAAAAAAAAAAAATACTACAAAATGTGCAATTCCACATAAAAAGTCAAATTGAAACAAATAAGCAAATGCTAAAGTCGTGCGGGGTGGATCATGTGATATCCCACATTACTATAAAATATTGTAAAACTGCCTTTAGGTGCAAATCCATTTTAGTCGATTTTTAATGTAAGAAGTAGTAATGTCATCTTCTAATCTTATGCAAAATTTCGTGTCGATTGGTTTTTAATTGTGACCTGTAGGAAGACTTACAAAAAAATCAGGAAAATTTTAATTGTCTGGTCCAGTTGAACCCCTTAATATACATCTTCAAACACCTTCAGTCTTCTGACCCTAACTTAACCTCCATACTAAATTTTGTATTAAATCGCCTGAAAAAGAACATATACCTATTAACAAGTAAAAAAGTTGTAAGTTTGGCCGGGCCGAACTTTGAATTGTCAAATTCGTTCCAAATGGCGGAGGGTCATTTGGAACGAATTTGACAATTTTCAAAAAATAAAATCCGTTAAAAATTCTGTAAAAATCTTAAAAATACAAAATGTAGCCCTTATATTAGGATCTATATGACGACATGAACCTGTAAAGGCAACTTATGTCATAAGCCATTGCAATATTCAAATTCGAAACTTGAATAAGATATTGGGTAAATAATGTAGCTGAAATCATCAAAATACCGAATATCGGGAGGTACCATTATATGGGGGCTATAACAAAACGTGGACCTGCACAGACAATTTTCTGTCTTAGGCTGTGGTATCCATTGTGAACTTCAAATACCAAATTTGAAATGTTTTCGGTGAATAATGTCGCCAAAATTATCAAAATACCCAATATTGGGAGGTACCGTTTTATGGGGCTATACGAAGACGTGGACCTGCGCAGACAATTTTCTGTGATAGGCTGTAGTATTCATTACGAACTTCAAATACCAAATTTGAAACATTTCCGATGAATAATGTTGCTAAAATCATCAAAATACCGAATATCGGGAGGTACCATTATATGGGGGCTATTCCAAAACGTGGAGCTGCATGGACATTTTTAATACCAACAGTACTATAGAAATAATAAAAATTTGAGTAAAATTTTAGTTCGGAAGCTAGAGTGATTTCGACAGATGGACAGACGGACGGACAAGGCTATATCGACATAGAATTTTATGCTGATCAAGAATATATATCTACTTTGTGGGGTCTAAAATGTATATTTCGAGGTGTTACAAATGGAAAGACAAACTTGTATGGAGGGTATAACAACGTAAACTATTATAGCTAGATATATTGTTTACACTAAGATTTATAATGAAATTTTGTATAGAATATTTCTTCTTTTTGCCTAAAACGAAATTTTATGTTATGTTCAGGCATCAACTCGAAAAAAGCCAGAGTATCATTTTTATAAAAAAACAAGTAAAAAAACATTTAGTTAGGCCGGGTCGAACTTTTAATACCCTCAACAATTGGATAAAGAAAACATTTTTATATAAAAAAATCTGAATTCAAACGTTTTCCACTTCTAACTACAAATACCTGTAAATCGTTTGGATAATGCTGTTAAACATTTCAAAAAACCATAAAGTGGGTGAGGCCGTTATATGGGTGCTATACAAAAACGTGAACATATACATGCAATATCTCGACACCGGAGATAGAATCCATTATGACATACAAATTTTTATTTTTTTTTACAAATTTTTACCAATTTTTAGAAAAATCAAAAATCACCAATATACCTAACATCGGGAGGTATCATTGTATGGGGCTATCGTGGTTTCAACAGACAGACGGCTATCGTTAAGTCGACATAGAATTTTTTTGTCTATTTTCTAATTGTCTAATGACTTCTTGGTATTTTTGAAACTTTGGCGTTCTTGACCCCCCCCCCCCTAAAGTTGTTATTTGAGGAAAAAATACTTGTTGAGAAATTATTTAAAAATGTGCCTACTCTAAACAGTAGCATAATAAATTATGAAGTATATTTTGAAGGTAACTATTTCGCATCTCGCATAGTTTAAGATTAACCGATATTTCCGGTATAAACTATAAATTAACTTAAATCCAATAAAAATATTTCTGAACATTTGTTTAGTTTAGAAACAAGTGATGTGAAAATTTGGAAATTTTATGAAAATTGGTAGCCAAAAACAAAACACAAGTTTTCCAAATAAAATAAACATTTCCCTCATCTTACATAAACAAAAAAAAATGCTAATTGATTGATTTATTTAAACAGAAAATGTAAATGGTGTTTTTTGACTATAATATATAATTGCGGTAATATTTAGAGGGTAATTACAAAAAAAATCTTAACTAGATCGCAACATTGTGAGCTGTCTGATAAAAAAATATAAATAATTCCATTTTGTTTTTTTTTTTGGATTTTCTTTGGCCTTTCTCTGAGTTGATTCGTTTAAATAAAATAAATCTTCATTTTAGACAGGAGAAACAATGTAAACACATTTATTTTCCAGCATCACATTACCAATTGATGAGCTTCCTCAGCAAATTTTGACATCAGCGACTAACTCTTTATTTTTACATGGACCTGTCATAGAAAGAAAGTACTTACAAAATAACCACCAAAAGCCAATAAAAACAGTAAAAAACGTACTAGAAGAACAAGTAAAAAGACGTTAATTTCGGCCGGGCCGAACTTCTAACATCCTCCACCGTTTTTTTTTCCAAAATTATCTGGAATCAAACGTGTTCGACTTTTAACTACAAACTCCAGTAAGATAGGTAGGAACAAAAAGTGAGATTTTTCAAAAACCTATATAAGGATTGGAGCCGTTATATAAGGGCCATACAATTGTATACTACAACGATTGTAATATATTGCTAGTCTTAAAGACCAAATTTGACGTCATTTCGTGGGTACGTTTGACTAGGATTATCAAACTCGGTCTATATATCCAATATTAAATAACAATCCATTGTATGGAAACCGTTGACCAATATGGACAATATTTTAACACCGGCCGTAGAAGCCATATATACCGTTATATGTGCACTATAGGAAAACTTGGACCTAGATATTCAATGTTCCCCTACCGGGGCTCGTACTCATTACGAACTACAATTATCTTTTTCTAAACAAATACGTGGAAAATGTGAAGAAAAATGATCAAAATAGCGAATATCGTAAGGTACCCTTAAATGCGTGCCATACGAAAATGTGGACCTATATATCCCTTGTTCTGTCACCGGAATTAGAACCCATTACGAACCACAAATACTAATTTATAGATGAATCCTTGGAAAATTTGACCAAAAATCATCAAAATACCGAATATAGGAAACTACCGTTATATGGGGACTCCATACAACCTATATCACCCTTGTTCTGCCATCGGAGCTAGAACCTATTACAAACTACAAATACCAATTTTTAGACAAATCTATGGAAAAATGTGGCTAGAACCATTGAATCACCATATATCGGGGGTTCCGTTATTTGGGGGCTATACGAAAACGTGGATCTATATGTACAATGTTCTGCCATTGGAGCTAGAACCCATAACGGTCCGAAAATACCAATTTTTAAACAAGTTGGTGAAAAAATGTGGATAAAACATCAATATACCGAATATCGGGAACTACTACTCCCAAGTTGGAGGGTATAATAAATTTAAATTTGTATTCATTTTTATCACTTTTTATATAATTTTTTTTGAAATATTTAGTATGATTGGTATTGGATACAGTATTTTTTTGCAGCTACTTCGTCGGCAAAAATTCCACCTTAAAATTTTAAATTTGTTCTAACAGTTGGTATTAGGCCGTTTTAGTACTCAAAATGCAGACAGAATAGTGGAAACATGTTTACCTTTTAAACCAAAGAAGATATTAGTAAAACCATTGCTCTATCCCTTCTCCCAATACCAAATTTAGTAACATTAAGTACGAATATCCAATACAGCCAAAACATCTCTCGATCCTAGAACCAACAGTAATCTAAACGTCCTTTTCAAGCAAATATAGAGTACCCACCTCAATCTCAGATACCGCCAGTAATCTAAATATCAAATTTCCGAATTTTATCTCTATCCCTTCAACTAAGACCACATTTAGTACAATTTATTACTTTTCGTACAATACACACTTCCAAAACCACCTCCATATGTCAAGGCTACACATGAACAGCGACCCTAATACAAAATTACAAATTGCAAGCACTATCTGTTCAACCAAATATCAAATTTAGTACTATTTAGTATTTTTCGTTGAAATTTAGGACACATTTCCAAACCACCGCAAATTCTCAACGATCTCAGCTCAATTCCTTTACCTAATACCATATTTTGTACCATTTAGTACTTTTCGTATAATTATACCAGATACCAATAGAGTCCTTAATATTTAATTTGAGGATTCCAGCCGTATCCCAGAACTCATCGTGCAAATAAAGGACGCATATCTAAACCACAGCCAAATTGCAAATATAAACTTCAGAATTATATCACTATTCCTTCACTCAATAGCAAAAATAGTACCATTCCGTACTTTTTGTACAATTATAGTACACATTTACCCTAAAACCAGATTTCAGTTTCTAGCACTATCTGTACACCCAATAACAAATTGTACCAAATATAGTACTATACTATATTTCCCACCACAAAATTCTCACATTTTGACATAAGCTCCATAGAGGAGTCCTAGCCTTATTTTGTTACCCCCCTCCATACATAGTATGTAGGGTATATTAAGTTCGTCATTCCGTTTGCAACTCATCGAAATAATAATGTTAGACTTAAGACGATTTAGCCCTGAGTCAAAACGCACGTAGAGTCAAAACGAATAAAGATAGGAAGCTAAAAATTTGCACAGGTCAGTCTTTTGTTTGGAGGCAGGTCAAGTTCGAAGATGGACTATATCGGTCCACGATATCGTATAACCCACATACAACCGTACCCCCGATATTCGGTATTTTGATGGCTGTAGGAACAATACTCTCCATCACCATTAAATTTGAGACTATGAAAAAATTGCGTATGCAGGCCCACGTCTTCGTATAGCCTCCATACAACGGTAACTCCCAATATTTGGTATTGTGATGGTTTTAGGGATATTACACACCACAGTTGTTTCAAATTTCGTATTTAGATTTCGTAATGGGATCTATAGTTTATGACACGAATTGTCTATGCAGGCCTTGGTCTTCGTATAGGCTCCATATATCGGTACCTCTCTATATTCAGAATTTTGACGACTTTAAGTACAATATACACTGAAATTATTTGAAATTCCTAATTGCCACTACAGCTTGTGACATAAAATTGTCTATGGAGGTTCAAGTCTTCGTATAGGCCCCCTATATTCGGTATTTTGACGATTTTAGTTACAATATTCACCGAAAGTATTTGAAATTTCGTATTTGAAGTTCCTAATGGATACTACATCCTCTGACATGAAATTGTCTATGCAGGTAGAGGTCTTTGTATAGCCATCATATAACCGCTCTTCCCAATATTCCGTATTTTGATGATTTTAACGACATTATTTCGCATTAGAATATTGTAATGGCCTATGACAACAGTTGCCAATGCAGGTCCACGTCTTTGTATAGACTCCAATATAACGGCTATATTCGGTATTTTTAAGATTTTAACAGAATTTCAACAGATTGTATTTTTTTTTGAAAAATTCCAAAATGACTGCCTTTTAGCCTGTTTTAACAAAACAAGATTCAATTTGATATTTTGTAGCAAAACTCCCAAAAAAATTGAGCATCCAAAAATTCAAGCGGGTACTCTAAAAATATATCAGGTATATTCAATAAACGAAATAAGATCGGGTAGGCTTTGCTCCTTTAGTAGATTCTACTGCTTTATATTTTTTAATGCCGTTGTTTTATTTTTAAATAAATAAATGTTTTGGAAAAGGAACAAATACAAATATGTGGAAAACATTGTCACTAATTGGTACCAACTGTAGCTGGTTTTATGCACAATATCCCACGGTCCATAGCAATATTCAGTCTCTGGGAATTGTTCTCTACTGGCTTAGCATAATCAATAATGGTTTGGTTGGACACTCACAAACAAATATACTGTTAGAATGATCTCTAAATCCATTTCGAACAACTTGTACAATTCGTACTCTTTAAGTACTTCTACTTGCAAGTAATATCTGGCATCCTATCTTAAATATAAAATAATTTATGCTATCTAATATTTAATGGCAAGCCATTCCTTTATTGCTAATGCGTTTTCATTTGCTCATTTCAGATTTATGATGCAAGCATCAATGACTGGCGCGTTTTGGATGAGAAGACACGCACAGATGTCATTGAGAAGATTGTTGAGGCACCGAAAAAGACCGTTTACATCGATGAATTTGTGGAGATCGAAAAGAATTCTAAAATTTTGGAGGAAAATGAAAATATGGAGTACAATTTGAATAAGACTTCCAAACGTAAGGATATTACCGAGAATATCTACGATGAAACGGACGAAAGGCTACAGATCGTCAATAAGAATAAGAAGACAATCGATTCACGAAAAGTAAGTTGGCAGGGCAACTCAAACCATAATACAAACGAACAAGCTAATCTTATTTCTCATTTATTCTATTCTCTTAGGATGGAGTCGACAAAACATGGAAAAGCACACACACTGAAATGTGCATCTGTGAGATCTGTACTTGTGGGTAAGTAAGGAGAAGAGCAGACGATTATCACAACTGTATTCTCTCTACAATGTAATGTTTGTTATTGTTACAGGCGTCATCATTGCACAACCAGTGATACAACAAAAACAACCAAAACCGATTCTCTAACTGAATCTTTGGGTAAGCTCAACTCTTAATTCGCCCAACAAAGTTTTCTTTACTAATATAATGTTCTCTCCCATCGCTCTCAGACATGGTTGACAATGTTGAGACCAGAATACGCACCAATACATGGTCAAAGGATGACTATGAGAATAATGAATCTCTTACCACAATCAGAAAAGGTCCCAAGGACTCTCCCAAGCCACTGCCAGAAGGACCACGTGATCGCTATACGGATCGTTTGACCCAGGATACGACTATTCTTGAGAATGAAGAATACGAATATATCGTTAGAACTCAACCAGTGCGACCACATGACAATCTGAAGCCTGAAGGTGACTTTTACAAGCCGGAAAAAGAGGAATACCGACCATCCGAGAGGCCTGCTCCCATTAAGCCAGGTGATAACCTAAGGCCTGAAGGTGAGTTCTATACACCAGAAAAGCCGGGCTTTAGGCCAGCCGAAAGACCCAAACAGAAGAAGCCTGAAGACAATCTCAAGCCGGAAGGAGAATTCTATGCACCCGACAAACCAGGTTATCGTCCAGCTGATCGTGTCGAACGAGTAGTTCATACCGATAATCTTCGTACTGAAGGTGAAATGACCTTCGTGGAGAAGGAAGAATATAAATATGTAACCAGACCAGAACCAGTTTTGAGACCAGATAATTTGAAACCGGAGGGTGAATTTTATACTCCCGAAAAACCGGGCTACAAGCCTGCAGAGAGGCCCCAACAACAGAAGCCTGAAGACAACCTGAAACCAGAAGGTGATTTCTATACCCCAGAAAAGGAGAAATATAAACCCGGTGAGCGTCCTTCTCAGGTACGTCCTGAGGACAATCTACGTCCCGAGGGCGAATTCTATACTCCAGAGAAACCTGGCTTCAGGCCTGCTGAAAGACCGCAACAAAAGAAGCCAGAAGACAACCTCAAGCCGGAGGGTGATTTTTACACACCTGAAAAGCCAGGCTTCCGTCCTGCAGAAAGGCCACAGCAAAAGAGGCCAGAAGATAATCTCAAACCGGAAGGTGATTTCTACAAACCAGAAAAATTACAATACAAGCCAGGAGAACGTCCAAGCCAGGTTCGACCTGAGGATAATCTGAGGCCAGAAGGTGAGTTTTATGCACCAGAAAAGCCAGGATTCAAACCTGCAGAGAGACCACAGCAAAAGAAACCAGAAGACAATCTCAAGCCAGAAGGTGACTTCTACACCCCAGAGAAGCCGGGATACAGGCCTGCAGAAAGACCTCAACAAAAAAGACCAGAAGACAATCTACGTCCAGAGGGTGATTTCTATGCTCCAGATAAACCCCATTACAAACCTGGTGAGAGGCCAACTCAGGTTCGTCACGAAGATAACTTACGCCCAGAAGGCGAATTTTACACACCTGAGAAGCCCGGTTACAGGCCTGCCGAAAGACCTCAACAGAAACGACCAGAAGATAATCTTCGTCCGGAAGGTGATTTCTATACACCCGAAAAACCTGGATATCGTCCAGCCGAAAGACCAGAACAAAAGAGACCAGAAGATAATCTGAAACCTGAAGGTGATTTCTATGCTCCGGAAAAACCGAAATACAAGCCTGGCGAAAGACCTTCTCAGGTTCGTCCAGAGGATAATCTTCGTCCAGAAGGTGATTTCTATACACCAGAAAAACCTGGATATCGTCCAGCCGAAAGGCCAGAACAGAAGCGACCAGAGGATAATCTTAAACCTGAGGGTGATTTTTATGCACCTGAGAAGCCAAAATACAAGCCAGGTGAAAGACCGTCTCAAGTTCGTCCTGAAGACAATCTTCGTCCTGAAGGTGATTTTTATGCGCCCGAAAAACCCAAATACAAGCCGGGAGAAAGACCGTCACAAGTACGCCCCGAAGATAATCTCCGCCCTGAAGGTGATTTCTACACTCCAGAAAAACCCGGTTACCGCCCAGCCGAAAGGCCAGAACAGAAGCGACCAGAAGATAACCTCAAACCGGAAGGCGATTTCTATGCTCCGGAAAAACCTAAGTACAAACCAGGCGAAAGACCTTCTCAAGTACGTCCTGAAGACAATCTTCGTCCTGAAGGAGAATTTTACACTCCAGAGAAACCAGGTTATCGTCCAGCCGAACGTCCCGAGCAGAAACGACCAGAAGATAACCTTAAGCCTGAAGGTGATTTCTACGCTCCTGAAAAGCCAAAATACAAGCCAGGCGAAAGACCTTCGCAAGTACGCCCTGAAGATAATCTTCGCCCTGAAGGTGAATTTTACACTCCAGAAAAGCCCGGCTTCAAACCGGCAGAAAGGCCCGTACAAAAGAGACCTCAAGACAATCTTAAACCCGAAGGAGAATTTACAACCCCCGAGAAACCTCAATATCGTCCAGCAGAGAGAACTGAAAAGATCATCCAAAAAGATAATCTTCGCACTGAAGGTGAAATGACATTTGTGGAGAAAGAAGAATATCAGTACGTTGTTAGACCAACGCAAGTTCGTCCTGAGGATAACTTGAGGCCCGAGGGAGATTTCTACGCCCCAGAAAAGCCTGGTTATCGTCCAGCTGAGAGACCGGTGCAGAAGAAACCTGAGGATAATTTGAAGCCCGAAGGAGATTTCTATGCCCCAGAGAAGCCTGGTTATCGTCCAGCTGAGAGACCGGTGCAAAAGAAACCGGAAGATAATCTGAAGCCCGAGGGTGATTTCTATACCCCAGAAAAGCCTGGTTACCGTCCAGCCGAAAGACCTGTGCAAAAGAAACCCGAAGATAATTTGAAGCCCGAGGGTGATTTCTATACTCCAGAGAAGCCTGGCTACCGTCCAGCTGAACGGCCAGTTGCAAAGAGGCCAGAGGATAACTTGCGACCTGAGGGAGAGTTCACTGTCCCCGATAAACCCTCATTTAGACCAGCCGAAAAAACCGAACGTATTATCCGTAAGGATAATCTAAGGACAGAGGGTGAAATGACCTTTGTAGAGAAGGAAGAATATACATATGTCAAGAGACCAGAGCAAGTGCGTCCCGAAGATAATCTCAAGCCAGAGGGTGATTTCTATGCTCCAGAGAAGCCAGGCTACCGTCCTGCCGAACGTCCAGTTCAAAAGAAACCTGAAGATAATCTCAAACCTGAAGGTGATTTCTACACTCCTGAGAAGCCAGGTTACAAACCAGCCGAAAGACCTGTGCAAAAGAAACCTGAGGATAATCTGAAACCGGAAGGAGAATTTTACACACCTGAGAAGCCGGGATATAGACCAGCTGAAAGGCCAGAACAAAAGAAACCGCAGGACAACCTCAAACCAGAAGGTGAATTCACTGTTCCTGATAAGCCAACCTACAAACCTGCTGAGAAGACAGAGCGCATCATTAGGAAGGACAATTTGCGCACAGAAGGTGAAATGACCTTTGTCGAAAAGGAAGAGTACCAATATGTGCGAAGGCCAGAACAAGTACGGCCAGAGGATAATCTGAAACCCGAGGGTGACTTCTACACACCGGAGAAACCAGGCTATCGACCAGCCGAAAGGCCACAACAAAAGAAACCTGAGGACAACCTTAAACCTGAAGGTGACTTCTATGCTCCCGATAAACCTGAATATAGGCCTGCCGAAAGACCACAACAAAAGAAGCCAGAGGATAATCTCAAACCTGAAGGCGACTTCTATACTCCAGAGAAACCAGGTTACAGACCAGCTGAGAAGACAGAACGCATTATTCGAAAGGATAATTTACGCACCGAAGGTGAGATGACATTTGTCGAAAAGGAAGAGTACACATATGTCAAGAGGCCCGAACAAATACGTCCTGAAGATAACCTTAGACCAGAGGGAGATTTCTATACACCAGATAAGCCGGGCTATAGACCTGCCGAAAGGCCCATGCAAAAGAAACCTGAGGATAATCTGAAGCCTGAAGGGGATTTCTATACGCCAGAAAAGCCTGGCTACAAACCAGCCGAAAGACCTGTTCAGAAGAAACCCGAAGACAACTTGAAACCAGAGGGCGAGTTTTACACTCCTGAGAAGCCCAAATTCATGCCAGGCGAAAGACCATCTCAAGTTCGTCCTGAAGATAACCTCCGACCTGAAGGTGAGTTTACTGTTCCCGACAAGCCTGAATATAGACCTGCCGAAAGACCGGTTCAAAAGAAACCAGAGGATAATCTCAAACCTGAAGGTGATTTTTATACCCCAGAAAAGCCTGGTTACAGACCTGCCGAAAGGCCGGTTCAAAAGAAACCCGAGGATAATCTCAAACCAGAAGGCGAATTTTATGCGCCAGAGAAGCCAGGTTACAGACCGGCTGAGAGACCTGTTCAAAAGAAACCTGAGGATAACTTGAAGCCTGAAGGTGATTTCTATACACCGGAAAAACCCAAATTTATGCCAGGAGAAAGACCGTCCCAAGTTCGTCCTGAAGATAATCTCCGACCAGAGGGTGAATTTACCGTTCCCGATAAGCCTGAATATAGACCTGCCGAAAGACCAGTGCAGAAGAAACCTGAAGATAATCTTAAACCTGAAGGAGACTTCTACACACCAGAGAAACCCGGCTATAAACCTGCTGAGAGACCGATTCAAAAGAAACCCGAAGATAACCTCAAACCAGAAGGCGACTTTTATGCGCCAGAGAAGCCAGGTTACAGACCGGCTGAGAGACCTGTTCAAAAGAAACCTGAGGATAACTTGAAGCCTGAAGGTGATTTCTATACACCGGAGAAACCCAAATTCATGCCAGGCGAAAGACCGTCTCAAGTTCGCCCTGAAGATAATCTCCGACCAGAGGGCGATTTCACGGTACCAGATAAGCCTGAATACAGACCTGCCGAAAGGCCCGTGCAAAAGAAACCAGAGGATAATCTTAAGCCTGAAGGTGACTTTTACGTACCTGAACAGGTTAAATTTTTGCCTGGTGAAAGGCCCAGCCAGGTCCGTCCCGAAGATAATCTCCGACCTGAAGGTGAGTTCTATACTCCTGAAAAACCAGGTTATCGTCCCGCTGAAAGACCCGTGCAAAAGAAACCTGAAGATAATCTCAAACCTGAGGGTGAATTCTATGCACCTGAGAAACTGGAGTTCAGGCCAGCTGAAAAGATTGAACGCATTATAAGGAAGGATAATCTGCGTACCGAAGGTGAAATGACATTTGTCGAAAAGGAAGAATACACCTACGTTAAGAGGCCGGAACAGGTTCGCCCAGAAGATAATCTGAAACCTGAAGGTGATTTCTACACTCCAGAGAAACCTGGCTTCAGGCCAGCTGAGAGGCCAGTACAAAAGAAACCTGAAGACAATCTCAAACCCGAAGGCGATTTCTATGCCCCAGAGAAACCTGGTTTTAAACCAGCTGAGAGACCTGTTCAAAAGAAGCCGGAGGATAATCTGAAGCCAGAAGGTGAATTTTACACTCCAGAAAAACCCAAATTCTTGCCAGGTGAAAGACCATCTCAGGTTCGTCCAGAAGATAACCTACGACCAGAGGGTGACTTTACGGTACCAGATAAACCTGAATATAGACCAGCTGAGAGACCAGTACAAAAGAAACCTGAAGACAACCTTAAGCCAGAGGGCAGTTTCTATGTTCCAGAACAGATTAAATTTATGCCCGGCGAACGCCCATCTCAAGTTCGTCCCGAGGATAACCTAAGACCGGAAGGCGAATTTTACACACCAGAGAAACCAGGTTTCAGGCCAGCTGAAAGACCTGTACAGAAAAAACCAGAAGATAATTTGAAACCAGAGGGAGATTTCTACACACCTGAAAAACCAGGTTATCGTCCCGCTGAGAGACCTGTGCAGAAGAAACCGGAAGATAATCTTAAGCCGGAAGGTGATTTCTATGCTCCGGAGAAACCGAAATACAAGCCTGGCGAAAGACCATCACAAGTTCGTCCTGAAGATAATCTTAGACCAGAGGGCGAGTTCACCGTGCCTGATAAACCAGAATATAGGCCAGCAGAAAGACCCGTTCAGAAGAGACCTGAAGATAACCTCAAGCCTGAAGGCGATTTTTACACTCCCGAAAAGCCAGGATATCGCCCTGCTGAACGAACTGAAATTATTGTCAGGAAGGATAACCTTCGCACAGAGGGTGAAATGACATTCGTAGAAAAGGAGGAATATAAATACGTTAAGAGACCAGAACCTGTTAAGCCCGGTGACAACCTAAAACCCGAGGGTGAATTTTACACTCCAGAGAAGCCAAAATTCTTGCCCGGTGAACGACCGTCACAAGTCAGACCAGAGGATAATCTCAAGCCTGAAGGTGAATTTTATACTCCAGAGAAACCCAAATTCATGCCTGGAGAGAGACCGAGTCAAGTTCGTCCTGAAGATAATTTGAAACCAGAGGGAGATTTCTATACACCTGAGAAACCTGGCTTCAGACCAGCTGAGAGACCAGTTCAAAAGAAACCGGAAGACAATCTGAAACCTGAGGGAGATTTCTATACACCCGAAAAACCAGGTTACAAACCGGCTGAAAGACCTGTTCAGAAGAAACCCGAAGACAATCTTAAACCCGAAGGTGATTTCTATGCACCAGAGAAGCCTGGATTTAAACCCGCCGAAAGACCTGTGGCCAAGAAACCCGAGGATAATTTGAAGCCCGAGGGTGATTTCACTGTGCCAGATAAGCCAAGCTATAAACCTGCCGAAAGAGTTGAGAGAATTATTCGTAAAGACAATCTCCGCACTGAGGGTGAAATGACGTTCGTAGAGAAAGACGAATACACCTACGTTAAGAGACCAGAACAGGTGCGTCCTGAAGATAATCTCAAGCCGGAAGGCGATTTCTATACTCCCGAAAAGCCGGGTTATCGTCCAGCTGAAAGGCCAGTACAGAAGAAACCTGAGGATAATTTGAAACCCGAAGGTGATTTCTATGCTCCCGAAAAGCCGGGCTATCGTCCAGCCGAGAGACCAGTTCAGAAGAAACCGGAAGACAATCTCAAACCAGAAGGTGATTTCTATTCCCCTGAAAAGCCCAAATTCCGACCTGGCGAAAGACCTAGTCAGATTCGTCATGAAGACAATCTGAAGCCAGAAGGTGATTTTTACGCCCCAGAAAAGCCGGGTTATCGTCCTGCCGAAAGACCAGTTCAAAAGAAACCGGAGGATAATTTGAAACCCGAAGGTGATTTCTATGCTCCAGAAAAACCAGGATATCGTCCAGCTGAAAGGCCGGTCCAAAAGAAACCTGAAGACAATCTCAAACCCGAAGGCGATTTCTATACTCCTGAGAAGCCTGGCTATAAGCCCGCCGAAAGACCTGTTCAGAAGAAACCTGAAGATAATCTCAAGACAGAAGGTGATTTCTATACTCCTGAAAAGCCTGGTTATAAACCTGCTGAAAGACCAGTACAAAAGAAACCTGAAGATAACTTAAAACCCGAGGGTGAATTTTATACTCCCGAAAAACCAGGCTATAAACCGGCCGAAAGAACTCAAAAGGTCATTCGCAAGGATAATTTGCGCACCGAGGGTGAAATGACATTTGTCGAAAAGGAAGAATACAAATATGTCAAACGTCCCGAACCAGTTAAGCAAACGGACAATCTGAAGCCAGAGGGTGAATTCTATGCACCGGAAAAACCAAAATTCCGTCCAGGCGAAAGGCCATCACAGGTACGTCCTGAGGATAATTTAAAACCGGAGGGAGAATTTTATTCCCCCGAAAAACCCGGTTTCAAACCCGCCGAAAAGGTAATACCAAAGAAACCCAAGGACAATTTGAAAACCGAAGGTGACTTTGTGCGTCCCGAGAAGACCCAATTCAAACCGGCTGAGAAAACCGAACGCATTGTACGAAAGGATAATTTACGCACTGAAGGTGAAATGACCTTTGTTGAGAAGGAGGAGTACAAGTATGTTAAGAGACCTCAACCTGTAAGGCCCGAGGACAATTTGAAACCTGAGGGTGACTTCTACACTCCCGACAAGCCCGGATACAAACCAGCCGAGAGACCAGTACAAAAGAAACCTGAAGACAATTTGAAACCGGAGGGTGACTTCTACACTCCCGACAAGCCCGGTTACAAACCAGCCGAGAGACCCGTGCAAAAGAAACCTGAGGATAATCTCAAGACCGAGGGCGACTTCTATACTCCCGAAAAGCCTGGTTTTAGACCCGCCGAAAAGCCGGTGGTTAAGAAACCCAAAGACAATCTAAAGCCTGAAGGCGATTTCTATACACCTGAAAAGCCAGGTTATAAGCCGGGCGAAAGAACTCAGAAAATTGTGCGCAAGGATAATCTACGCACGGAGGGTGAAATGACATTTGTGGAAAAGGAGGAATACAAACATGTTAAACGTCCAGAGCCTGTTAAGTTCAAGGATAATCTGAAGCCAGAAGGAGAGTTTTATGCACCCGAGAAACCGGGTTTCAAGCCTGCCGAGAGACCGGTGCAAAAGAAACCTCAGGACAATTTGAAACCAGAGGGAGAATTTACGGTACCCGATAAGCCTGGATACAAACCCGCCGAAAGGACCACCAAGGTCATACGTAAGGATAACTTACGTACAGAAGGTGAAATGACATTTGTGGAGAAAACCAAATATGTAGCTGGCGAGAGGCCCAAACAGGTGCGCCATGAAGATAATCTCAAGCCAGAAGGCGAGTTCTATACTCCAGAGAAGCAGGGCTTCAAACCTGGCGAAAGACCAGTTGCCAAGAAGCCTTCGGATAATCTCAAACCGGAGGGAGAATTCTATACTCCCGAGAAGCCTGGCTTTAAGCCTGGTGAGAGACCTGTGGCCAAGAAACCGGTAGATAATTTGAAACCGGAGGGAGAATTTGTGACCCCCGAAAAACCAGGCTTCAAACCGGCTGAAAGGGTGCAACGTGTTGTGCGCAAAGATAATTTACGTACCGAGGGTGAAATGACCTTCGAACAAAAGGACACCTATCAATATGTCAAGAGGCCAACACCAATTAAGCCAAGCGATAATCTCAAACCTGAAGGAGAGTTCTATAAGAAAGAAAAGGATGCCGGTCCTAGAGATGTTGTGGACCGTGTAACACCCAAGAGGCCGGTGGATAATCTCAAAATGGAGGGAACCATGGAAATTACCCGCAAAAATCAAACTAAGACCGATCACACGGCAACCACGGTACGCCAAACTACAAAGAAGGTAGTCCACAACAGCTCCTCGATTAGTTTGGGTTCAGACACGTCCATTCTGAAGACCACAAATCAGATGAGTTATGCCTCGAGTAAAAACGCTGTACCCGTGGCCGATTTGAATACTCAAAAACCGGCTGATGGCATGGTGATAGTCTCCACTAAGCGGGTGACCACCGTTATTGGCAGCAAAAACAAAAAGGAACCCGAAACTCAATATGTTCGTCGCCAGGGCAAGGTCAATGTCATTGAAAATGTCGAGAAATCCACCAAGGTGAAGAATGTTAAAAACGTGGAAAATGTCTACAATGAAGATGTATCGATGACCCAGAATCGTGTGAGTACCGCCAAGAAGAGCATCCAGCAACATGACGTGAACGATGTTAGCAGCACAAATGTTGTTAACAGAAAGGTTATGCAGAGTGACGTTAACAGTCACGAACAACATAATCACCATCACCACCACCACCATCATCATCATGATGCCAGTGGTAATCATACCCATGTCCATAAGAATATTGTGCATCACGAAACTTGTCCGGTGGTCCAAAGGAATTTGCTCCACACCACCAGCGGTGGCAGCAGTAGTGATACCAAACATGTGACCACCACTGATGGCAGCAGCGTTACTCAAAATGGAGTGAGTGGCACTACCATAATTAAGGGTGGTGGAAGTCGTACAGTAACCTCCACGGTTACTCAGCACACCGACAAGGAATCCACATGCCTGGCCAGCAAAATGACATCTTCCAGTAATAAAATCCACTCGGAGGGATCAACAACGACCACACGTCGGGTTACCAATGTTAATCAACGTAATGGCAATGGCTCTGATATGAAGAGCCTGATAAGTGGTGGAGGTGGTGGAAGTGATACATATAATGTCACCACCAAAATTACCAGAAATGGTGGCACTGCAGAAAATGGTCATCTGGTCCAATCGTCGTCAAAATCCAATATCAGTTCCAACATCACCGAAAGCACCAATGCCAACACATCGTCCACCAGCATGTCGACAAGTAAACAATTCCATCACCGTAAGACCGAGTTCTCTTCCGAATCGAATGTGGCCAATACGATTTTGCAACGTAAGTCGACTCCCACAGAATCGCAGCAATTTGGTAGCCTCTCCTCCAATGCCAAAATTCATCGTAAGAGCATCATGAATCTAAATGAACAGCCATCGAGTTCATGGTTCCCCAGTGAAAGACAAAGCTACAGCAGCCTGCATCGTCAGAAGTTAGAATCTGAGGGTGGCAACAGTTCATGTGCCGTCCACAATGCCTCGGAGCGTCGTAGTCACACTGCCATACACCGTGAAACAAAGGAGTTGCAACAGAGCAACAAGACGGCCTCTTCGAACGCACATCATACCCATCATCAGCATCACACAACAACAAGTGCTGTCGATTTTCCCTCGTATCGGACCAGTGAACGTGTTGTGACACGTCATCGTGGCAATCAATCGACATTCTCATTGGGTGATTCCGAATCATCGTCCTCCGTTTCCAGTAATTATAAAATGGAATATAAAACAGTTCCAGTCACAACCTGTACTGTGCATAAAATAACACAAGGTGCATTCCAACAATCTAGGGATACTACTCAAGAGCATAAATTTTTCAAAACTACCAAGTAACAGCAATAACAACAACAACAACCACTAATGATAATAATCTGTAATTATATAAGCATGTAACATAATCTAAAAAAGAAACAATAATAATGAACACGTATACATTATATAGATATTTAGGATCCGTTTAACCCTTAAACCGGTAAAAGAGGAAAAAAAAAAACAATTTAATAAGAAATTTAATTAAAGACAAAAACATGTTTGATATTTTGTAAAAAACAAATCTTAATTTATATTCAATTCCCACAAAGGAAATCCCAGGATCGTCTCTCTCTATTGCCATAGTGATTTAAGGGTTAATCATTTACATTTATTTTGTATTTCCGTTTGAAATTTCTCTCTCATATTTTTGCACCCAAAAAGAATATGAGTCATTCCAATAACAAATTCAATTATATATTGATATGAAGCCAATACAATCCGTTTATATTTTTTTTTAATTGTTACATATTTTTTTTGTATTTACATCACAACAAACATTACTGAGTCTTTATCCCTGGGATTTAATTTTTATTTTATTTTATTCTTTATTGTTTTTAATGTTGTATCTATTATTCCACAATATTATTACTAATTGACCAAGCGCATAATAAAACTACATTTTTTAATATACGTATATATATTTACTACATACATATATTTTTATACATTCAAACAAAACAAGAAATTATTATGTATTAATTATAATGAACAAAAACCACTGCTCGAAAATAAATAACAATAACCTTTTTTTGAAATGTGAAAATAAAATTGAAAACGAAGTGTTTTTTCTTTCGACGACGTTTGGTGACATAAAAAAATATTTACAGAAAAACTCGGTAGATTATGAAAGAAGAGCTAAAAATAGAAGACATGGGTATCTGTTTGTTTGAAAGTTTACATTGCAAACTAACCTTAATGGAGGAGGCGAGTTACCACCTCTTCCACATTTAATTTTTGGATTTTGATTCTTTGGAATCCGTTCATTTTAGTTATATAGTGGAGGATACTGATACCATGGTTATTTTGTTCAAAATTTGTAACCATCAAGCGGGTCACCAAAGGGGCCTTTTTGGTTATTTTTTAAATATGGTTCAAAACTCCCTATTAAATCAAGTATTCTACAAATTTCCGCTTTGCCGGCCCGTACTTTTAGTCTTTAATGCCTATTTTTTAAAGCGTAATAAATCAAAAAATGTGACGCGTACATAAGTCAGATCATGTACCTGTCACATTTTTTGTTTTATTAATGACTCGATCGTAATTTCTAAATAGAAATAGCGTTGTGCGCTGGATATAAAGCGCGGAACCTCATTTTGTAACCATTCTTGGGTGGCGCGTGCTGAGTGTGATGGTGTTGAGTCCTGTTGAAATGTCCAAGGTCTACGGCCCAAATATTTGCATGCCCAAGGCTTTAATACACCCTCCAGAAAATTTTCGCGATAATATTCGGCATTTATTCTGATGGCACGGTCGATTAATACGAGCGGAGAGCGACCATCGGCTGTTGTGGCGACCCACAGCAATCCAACCGAAGGTGCACTTTTGGCCAAGCGAAGCAACTCTTTAGCTCTTTTGAGGATTATTAGCTCATTTGGGAATTTAATTGGTTTTACCCGGAGCTCATTTTTCAATATTTGACGAATGGAATATTGCGATATGTGCTCACTCATGCTCACGACCCATTTTGGCCACTGCGACGCGGGTTTCGATCAAGTCGCTTCTTTAATTTTCGAACCATTTCTGCTGATGTTGCTGTTTTCTTCCGTTGGACTATTGTGTCTGGAGAATTTTGGAAAGCAAGGTTGGCACTAAAAAATACCAAAGTGTCGATCAACTCAAGCAAACGCTTTGCCGGAAATGAGCCAAAATACCGCAGAGCAACATTCGGGCAGAGTGTGATGGTCTCATTGATCGTTTCAAGCCCATAATTCGTGTTAAAGGTTACCAATTCGAACAAATCTAAACTTATTATAAATGATGCTGTTTCCGACATTGTTTGCTTTCATTCAATATTTTTTTTTTAAATGTAAAAATTATGGCGTTTGACTTTGTTGCAGTTTTTTTTTATCTCACTCTATATTACAACGGTGACATCAGAATTGTATCTCTATACCATTACTCACTACCAAATATAGTACCATTTAGTACTTTTTGTATAATTATGGTACTCATTTCCAAAACCACCTCTTTAACGCAAATCTATCAACATTTCAATTTACCAGCTTCTGCCGCTCACCCAAAACACAATTGTACACAATTTAGTACCATTTAGTACTGTTTTTACACTTAATACACATTTCCGAAACCATCTAATTACATCAATTAGAATTCCCAAAACACCTTAGTTTATCTATCCTACACAACATCAAAGGCTCTCTCTCCGAATTTCAGATTTCCAGCTCTATTTCAATTTCGCCAAATACCAAATATTTGAACATTTTTGATAGTTTTTAGTACGTATTTCCAAAAAGTTGACCCTAAAGCCAAATTTTAGAATTCCAACTCAATCCCTTACCTAAATACCACATTTAGTACCATTTAGTACTTTTAGTACGTATTTCCAAAACCACCTCCAAATCCCAACCCTACACTCTAACAGTAAGCCTTATGCCAAATTTCAGATTTAAAGCTGTATCCGTTCAATTTTTTCAATTTAATTTTTAAGTATTTTTTATTCTTTAGTCAATTACAAGAAATTTTTTTTGAAATTCCGTAGTTTTTTTATTATCGGTTAGCAGAGGCTACTGTTGGTCTATTAACTTCAGCATATTTTAAAAATAGTCTATTTTCTGGAATTCAAATTTCAAAACCTCAAATCTGATTTCTTAACTTATTTTGAATTTTAATGAAAAATGTCTGAATTTTTTGAAATTTTTAATATCAAATTCTAAGCATCAATTAGATTTTTCTAATTTAAATCGGAATATCAGAATTTTAATTGCAACATTGTGAGTTCCAAATAGAATTTCTGTATTTTGAAATGACGTTGCTGAATATCAAACACAATTTGAGAATTTGAAATAAAAGATGTAAATTTTAAATAGAATTTGTAAATTTCAGTTAAAGTATCTATATTTCAAATGGAAAATCTGCATAACAATTGGGCTTTGATAGTTGCTGATATTGTGTAGCCTTTTTGTTTGGTAGACTAAGATGGATTCTTCAGTAGAACGTATGACACTCGCTTGTTTTAAAATTGAAGCATATCTTTAGGCGGTATATTATAACTTTAATCTTAGGGTATTATTATACCCTCCAATATAGTACGGAGGGTATATTATCATTCCGTCATTCCGTTTGTAACATGTCGAAATATACATTTTAGACCTCACAAAGTATATATATTCTTGATCAGCATAAAATTCTATGTCCGTCCGTCTATCCGTCTGTGGAAATCACTCTATCTTCCGAACGAAATGAAGTAGGTTGGTAAAATTTTATTCAAATGTATATTATTTCTGCAGGACTTTTGGTATTGGAAATGGGCCTTGTAGGTCCACGTTTTGGTATAGCCCCATATAATGTTACCTCCCGATATTCGGTACTTTGATGATTTTAGCCACATTATTCACCGGAATTGTTTCAAATTTGGTATTTGAAGTTCGCAATGAATACTACAGCCTATGACAGTATATTGTCTGTGCAGGTCCACATGTTCTTCTAGGCCCCATATAACTTTATGAGTTTGGCGACATTATTCACCGGAGTTGTTTCAAATTCGGTATTCGAAGTTCGCAATTGATATTACAGTCTAAGGCTGCAAATACATAAAAAGCTTGAAGTCATGGCTAGGCATATTAATGCCAAATTATAATGAAAAACGACGGCAGGATTTTAGTGCGGCTCTGTAATTCCTTTGTGAAATGTCACAAAACAGGCCGTGCCATGACTTCAAGCTTCTTATGTACTTAGCCCTTAAGACAGAAAAGTGATAGTGCAGGTCCACGCCTTCGCATAGCCCCCATATAACGGTACCTCCCGATATTCGGTATTTTAATGATTTTAGCGACATTATCCACCGGAATTTTTTCAAATTTGGTATTTGAAGTTCGTAATGGATACTACAGACTATGGAAGAGAATTATCTGTGTAGGTCCACGATTTGGTACAGCTACATTATACACCGATTTTTTTCAAGTTTCGCATTTGAATATTGTAATGGCTTATGACATATGTTACCTATGCAGGTTCATGTCGTCGTATAGACCCCAATATAACGGCTACATTCGGTATTTTTAAGATTTTAATGAGAATTTTTAACGGTATTTATTTTTTTGAAAATTTGTAAATGAAAAAGGTATTTAAAGTTTGGGCCGTCCGAACTTATAGCTTTTTTACTTTTTCTGTTTTTAGCAGCCTTAAAACAGGATTTAAAAGCCGTTACTTTTTGAAAACAGCCGTAACTTTATAGTAATAAAATGAAAAAAATACTTTATAACTTTTTAATTTTATTAATTGTGCTTATTAGTCCTTAGATATTGACACATCTGGGTTTAAGTATATTTTTAACTAGAGTTTTATTAACTGCCTTTAGGCAAGTTTTTTCCATATTTTTTTTAATACTAATTAAAAGGGTCATAATAACTGGAAAATATTTACTTTTCGGCGTTCTAGCATGTTTCTCCCAATAATTTTTAAAAATTAAAAAAATATATATATTTTAGAATGGCTATAACTTCTTTAATATTGACTTTTCGCCGTTTTTAGATACCGTCCACCTTGGAAAGGAGATTATAAACTATTAAAAGAACGAAATTTCTTTTGAGAAACAAGTTAGGAAAGTAAGTTTGATACCTGAAGGTGTTTTGGAAATGTGTGCGAACTTTACCAAATGGTATTTAATTTGGAAGAGTTTGGATTTGTGTGAACGGATGAAGCTGGAATTTTTAATTTCGTAATGGGGTCCCTGTTGGGACCAGAAGATAGCGCTATTACAACACTGATATAGATGAACTAAATCGACTTAGAACTTTACGCTGATCACAAATAAAAATATCTTTGAGGGTTTAACAGAGTATTTCGATGAGTTACGAACGGAATGACAAATTGAATATATCCCCCATCGTATAGTGGAGGGTAAAACAAGTAAAAAGGCAGTAAGTTCGGCCAGGGCGAACTTTGAATACCCTCAACAATTTTGAAGGAACTTGAAATTTTCAAAAAAAAAAAAAAAAAAAAATGCGTAGAAAATACCGCCCAAATGAAACCTGTTTCATAAGTAGTTTTTTGTTATAGGCTGTGGTACCGATTCCGATCTTACAAATACGAAATCATTAAATGCCGAATATCGGGAGGTACCGTCATATGGGGCCTGAACGAAGACGTGGACCTGCATAGGCTATTTTCTGTCTTAGACTGTAATATCCATTACGAACTTCAATTACCAAATTTGAAACAAGTGTGGTAAAAAGTGTCGCTGAAATCATCACAATACCGAATATTAGGAGGATCTGTTAGGAAGACATTAATTTTCTGTCACAGAATTACATTAACATTAATTTTCTGTACCTATTAGAAACTTCAAATACGAAATTTCAAATTTTGAAGCAATTCCGGTGAATAATGTCCCTAAAATCGTCAAAATATCGAAAATAGGTGGGGGGTTGCCGTGTATGTGGGCTATACGATATCGTTGACCTATGTAGACATTTCTCTTCCAGGGAGTAAAGTGCTTAGAAAGAACTTTAAGTGTGAATTTTTAGACAATTCCATTGAAAAATGTAGCTAAAATCATCAAAAGTACCGAATTTCGGGGGACCTTTATACGGGGACTATACGATATCGTGGACCGATATAGCACCTCTTTGAACTTAACCTGCATGCAGACAAAAGACGGATCTGAATATCGTTTTTAGGTACTGGTTAGGATGAGAACAACATCTGCCAATTTCTTTTGAATCGGCAAGAATATAGATATATCTCCCTCATATAAATGTCATCCTGTCAACTGTCAGGACGCTCAGAGTCATAATGTGAACTCTATAACAATAATATTCGCTATGGGGTATCATATACAGCTAGAAATACTTTTGATAGCTCTTATTTCAAGCCGTATTGCCCATTGTTGACATTATTTACTTTAAACATATACACAATATAAGAAAATTTTTACTGGAAGCTCTGCTAAAAATGCATAGTGATGTAGGGTATTATTTTGTCTTCTCATACTTGTTAAAACATGTAGGTGATAAGGACGGATCAGACGAATCTACCAACTTAAAGATTCTCTCTTGAGCCAATAATATCTTTATACGTTTTAAAAAATGATTTTCGATCCATTGTTTCTTAGCCACTTCAGGTTAGTATGCACCTAAATGTTATTACTTTGCTTTATCATGGGTAAAATATTTATTGATAATATTTAAATAGCATATTGCTGAAATCTAGTTTATTACATAAGCTACTTCAAAATGGATTTTTTATAAGGGGCAAATTGTTGCAAACTTTTTTTTTAAATATGATATAACAATTTAATACCTTTCACCACATGTATATTGTTTCACAAATACGCCCCAAAACCGAAAGATCTTCTCCAAATGATACACGGACGAAAACAAAAACTAGATTAAAAGACCCCACACATTCGCCCAATAGAAAATTTACAACATCTAACAATACTACTTATTTTTAATGATAATCTTTTTTTTATTGTTTAATTTATTGAATCTTTCATATATTTAATGAAAATAACAATAAGGTTTCATATCTTATATACTAATATTTTTATAGGGAGGTTGTCAATACAATCACCCTAGATTTTTTCATGCTTTAATTATTAATTATTGATATTTTTTATGATATAGATGTGCGTTATTTTGTGGGCTTGTGGATACAGTTATATCCGTGAATTAATTGAGTGGTAGTTAAGATTAGTTTAGATACAGTTATATCTAAGTGAATCGCGAACTACAGAAATAGTCTTACGGATATAATGTTGCTTTGTTTAGATACAGTTATATCTAATCATCCCGAGGACTACAGTAATAGTCTTATCGATTTCTTCACTAATCTTCCCGCGGACTACAGTAATAGTCTTTTCGATTTCTTCACAGAAGCAGCTTCCAATTTAGCAATCTACTACCTGTAGAAGTATAAAAGTGGGCGACGTTCAATTGGCCAGACAAGAGCTAAAAATAATGAGAGAGTATGACAAAAAAATAAAGTATATGATAGAAAGAGTGTCACGTCTGCGCAGTCTATCGTGTCCTCCGAATAGTAGGAGTTGGCGGTCCAAGCTATTTGGGTGCTCGGATAGTTTGTTTAAGTACTTTCGGCAAAGCTTCTTTATTTCTTCTTCAACAGTAAGTATATTTAGGTCCTTGTGGATGTTTGCGTTCCTTATGTACCATGGTCCACCTGTAATAGATCGAAGAATATTCGACTGTCTTCTTTGTAGTTTACTTTCGTTAGAGGCACTAGCTGTGCCCGAGAACTGTATGCCATACGTCCAAATTGGCTTTATTACAGTCTTATATAATAGGACTTTGTATTCTAATTTAATAGAAGAACGTATACCAATTAACCACTCAAGATTGGCCGTTTTTAGTTTTAAGATTTTTGCATCGATGTGTTGCTTCCATGTAAGTCTTCGGTCCAGGTGCATTCCGAGATATTTTACGGTATCTTTCTGTGGAACTTGAGTATTAAAGATTTTTATCGTGGGGCAAAGTTCACGTCTTAGAGCAAAAGTAACGTGTATGCACTTGCTTGCATTTACCGATATTCTCCATTTTGTCAGCCAATTTTCGAGAAGATATACATGGTATTGTAGTTTTTCCGACGCAATCAGAAGATCCTTGTGTATGCTAATGAAAGGAGTATCATCAGCAAACGTTGAGGTTAGAGTTTCATTGGTTGTGGGCATATCGGCAGTAAATAACACGTACAGAATTGGTCCTAAAATACTACCCTGAGGGACGCCAGCCAATATTTTTCTCGATAATCATAATCTTAAATGACATTCTTTCCCACTTTTTGTTATTAACATATTGCACACAGTTTTTGTTTGGAGCCAATAATAATATAAGGTTTGATTATGTTGAAATGTTAAGAAATGGTGAAAAGAAAGTATGGCATCTTTGACAATTCGGCATAAGGCCCTGAGTTGATGCCAGATTGTAAATTGTCTATTTTCGAGGTTTTGAAAGTGATATAGACATAATTCCATTAATGATACCCTCCACCTTGAAAAGGAGTGTATTATAACTTTGTCATTCCGTTTGTAACATCCCTAAATATTCATCGTACACCCCATAAACGGGGAATTTGTCTAAAAATTAGTATTTGTAGTTCATAATAGATTCTAGCTTCGGTGGCGGAATATTGTATTTGTTGGTCCACGTTTTGGTATTGCCGCCATATAGTTGTACCTCCCGATATTCGTTATTTTAATGATTTTTGCCACATTTTTAAACGGATTTTTCTAAAAATTGGTATATGTGGTTCATAATGGTTGAATATTCAATATTAAGTTTTTTTCTAGTGCACACACAAGGTGAGATAACAAAACTGCAAAAAGTCAAACGCAATAATTTTTATTTTTAATTTTATTGAATGAAAGCAAGAAAAGTCGAAAATAGCATCAAATTTTGGAATAAGTTTAGATTTGTTCGAATTGGTCAGCTTTGCCATGAATTATGGCCTTCAAACGGCCAACGCAGCCCGAATGTTGCTCTTCATTATTATTGCCCATTCCCGGAGAAGCGCTTGCTTGAGGTGATCGACACTTTGGTATTTTTAGTGCCAACCTTGTTTCCTATATTTTCCAGACACAATAGTCCAACGGATTGGTTTCCCGAGATTTTGGTAGCCATTTTTTGGCCGTTCTTGGGTGGCGCGTGCTGAGTGCGATGATGCTGAGTCCTGTTAGAATGTCCAAGGTCTGCGGCCAAAATGTTTGCGTGCCCAAGGCTTTAATACACCCTCCAGAATATTTTCAGGATAATATTCGGCATTTATTCTGATGGCACGGTCGATTAATACGAGCGGAGAGCGACCTTTGGCAAGTAAACACGATCATTTGGTTTGCTTACAAACTGCTCGACAACGAATGTTTTCCCATCGGAGAAAACCAAATTCGGCAGTTCACCACTTTCGGCTAAGCGAAGCAAATCTTTAGCTCTTTTAAGTCTATCTTCTTTCTGTTGCGGTGTAAGTTCTTGCACTTTTTGGAAGTTCAATGGCTTTACCCCGAGCCTATTTTTCAATATTTGCCAAATTTAATATTGCGATATGTTCAGCTCACGAGCCATTTTTCGGCCACTGCGACGCGGATTTCGATAAAGTCACGTCTTTACTTTTCGGACCATTTCTGCTGATGTTGAAGTATTTTTCATTCCACTTCCTTGACGTCGGGTTACGCTACCAGTATCATGATGGTACGAGACACAAAAAAATTATGCTCTAACGACAGCCACTTGTGGTTTTCCAGCCAAATATATAGGAATCACACTATCATGCTGGAATTCCATTACGAATAACTTTTTTTCTGGAAAATTCTCACCTTCTCTGCTTTTCTACGCTTTTAAACAATATAATGACTGTCACTAGAATAATTCTAAGAGCTGTCGGGCGAGTGGCTTAGAAATGACAGCAGTCTGAAATTGGTTGCAGTTTTTTCATCTCACACTGCATGTGCAAATACCTGATAAGTGGCGTGTCTATTCGTCGTACACTGTTTCTGTCACCATTACACTCGAGTTAATACGGTTATTTACATCTCTGATATTGAAGAGAACAAATTTATAAAAATAAGTATTGCATACCTTTAGGCTTTACCTTAACCAAACAAGAAAATCATAAAAAGAAATACGTTTTTTAACTTTCAATATTCGTATATTTGTTTTTGTTAAAAATTAGCAAATAATCATTTGTGATTTAAGGGAAACTAACTAACTATGATTTTGTTAAAAAAAAAAAACATCCATTTATTAGTTGTAGATGTCGAATGGGGGAAAAATGAACAATTGTTTGATGGAAAAACCATAATGTCTTTTTTCTTGGGTTGTTTGATGAAAAATTAAAACAATAAAAAACGTTTATGATTATTAGTATTTTCATAATTTTGTTATACATTTTTCTTTTTGTTAAATTTGTGAATTATTTTATAAATATTTGTGTATAGTATAATTAGATAAATACAGTTACAATTAATATTGTTTAGGAAGACATGATTTATCTTTAAATAGTTTTTTTTATATATTTATAAATTATATGTTTATTGTTATCGTTTCGCACTTAAAACTATTTAATTTTTTCTACAATTTATTGGAAGACAATTTTCGATTTTTAAATTTAATTATAATTAATTTTGTTATTTTGATTTCTTGTTGGAAGACATTTGTTGCATTAGTTTTGTATTGTTATGTTTGTGTTTATATAATGGTTAATGTATATATTTCGCTATAAATAATATATGTTGCTCAATATTTTTCTCGAATTAAAACTAAATTTTCGGTTTTTCTTTTGTTCTAATTGAAATTTGTATGATATCTTTGTATTTTCTTTCTCCTGCTCGTTTCCTTTTCATCTTCTTTAAAATGGAAGACCGATTTCGAATGCATTTATCAACGCATTACCTGAATCATATATGCCTATTACCCCGAACAATACCCCCAAACCAATAATTATGTAATCCTTGGCCATTTCCTTTTGATCCAATAGATGGCCCTTGATTTTCAAATGGAAATAACATGGCCAAATGAAACTCAACATTGTGCCGGTGAAGCTGCCAATGAAACCCATCAGAATCGAAAAGTGAGGTATGAAACATGCCATCATTATGGTAGAGACAATAACCCCTACACGAAAGCCTAAGCCCCAAACTTTTAACTCTCCATCCAAATGCCAAATGGTGGGAAATTTCGTTTTTGGTGGACCACGAAAGAAGTTGCGTTCCAACAGCTCACAGGCAGCATAATATGGCAAGGGATAACTCAATATAGCCTTGATGACTAAGAAGAAATTCACCAATCCCTTGAAACCCTGGGAATGCAGATTGTTGGTGATAACCTGCTGGGTATCATTTTGAAAGGTCAAAAAACATATGTACCCGAAGCCGGCCTTAAAGGCAGCCGCGGCAATATGTGACCAATCTAACATCCAATTGAATTTGGAACGATCAATCATATTGCCCTCCAGTGTGGGCAAAAAAATCTGTGATGTATACGAGAATACAATGACACCCAGCGAAATGGGGAAATTCTCAAAATCAATGCTCCAACGGACCTTGGACCAACCCCAATCGCCAATTTGTAAAATGCAATAACCCAAAATAACCACATTTATGACAATGTGGGACATGGTACACCAAAAGGAAAGAAGCGATACCATCTTCAAAGACTTCAGGAAACCCATTGGCAGTAGAAAGATACCAACTAACATCATCCAGGATCTAGAATCCAATGAACCCTGGGGGTAAGTGCCCGCCAACAAATCGCCACACACCACCACATACAAAATACATGTCATCAGCAGCTCAATCAGTTGGGCAATACTTACAGCTCTTGCTCCCAACTGCGGACCAAAACACACCTTTGCAATGGATACATAACTGTCGCGTACTCGTACCAATTGTCCTGTGGCTGGATCCGGCTCGTACAGGCATTGCACTAACACTTTTCCCGTATAACAGCAAATGTAGGCAATGCCCACCATGGCAATGATGGCCCAATAGCCACCATGGAGTACAGCAAATGGCAGCGATACAATGAACATACCCTGTATAGCATTGGTGACATTCCAGGCCGCTTGCATTTCATCGATTTTTGAACCACCGCCACCTTCACCTTCGCACACAAATGAACTGCCTTCGGAAGCGATGCTGCCTTGTCTAAAAGAGGGAGGGAGAGAGAAATGGAAATTTGGTAAATATTGTCATGGAAAAAGAGGTAAAAACAACGTTACATTCAGGCAATGTAGTTGAAGACCTTGACATTTATTATATATATTTGAGAAAGAAGTGTGCCATCCATTCAGATTTAAAAATACCCGATCGATGCAGCTACAAGAGATTTAAGTCAATATTTTGGCATATTTCCATATTACGTTTGTGAGGAACGTATTCCCGGAGAATTTAAATTATCAAATACAAACATACCGAAATCCATTAGTACCATTGTATGCTGCTAAAATAAACTGTGGTGTAACTTTGAATTCAAACAAGCAGCTATGTTCGGCGGGGCCGAACTTTTTATACCCTTCACTATTCTCTTTTAGGGTGTAAAATACTCACAGAGAACTTCTTGTGTAGACTTTCAGACAATGCCATTGAAAAATGTGGCTAAAATCATCAAAATTCCAAATGTCGAGAGGTACCGTTGTATGGGGGAATATACGATACCGTGGACCTATATAGACAATTCTTCATCAAGGGGTAAAGTAGTTACAAAAACTCCTTGTGCATTATTTCAGACAATTCCATAAATTTTTTTTCTAATTTAATTTTAATTTTTAAGTTTATTGAATGAAAGCAAAAATGTGTTTAAGAAAAAGTTTAGATTTGTTCGAATTGGTCACGTTTGCACGAATTATGGCTCTCAATCGGCCAATGAAACCGTATCACGCTGCCCGATTGTTGCTCTGCGGTATTTTGGCCCATTCCCGGTGAAGCGCTTGTTTTCCAAAATACTATACTATTAGACGTTTGGTGCACAATAAAATGTAAATCGGACGAAGTTATATATGGGTGCTATATCCATATCTGAACCGATCTCGATAAAATTTAGCAAAGATATTTCTGAGCTATATTTGATATATTTCCCCAAATATTGTTGTTACAGAGTGCATATTATGGCTGCGGAGGACTAAAACAACAAATCGGATGAACAATATATATGGGAGCTATAGCTATATCTGAACCGATCTTTACCAAATTCGACATACTAGCTTCTTCTTCCATCCCATTTGGCCAAATATTAGATGTTTGGTGCACAATATAAGGTAAATCGGAGGAAGTTTTATATGGGAGCTATATCCAAATCTGAACCGATCTCGATAAAATCTAGCAAATGTATTTCTGAGCTGTATTTGATATATTTCCCCAAATATTGTTGTTACAGAGTGCATATTATGGCTGCGGAGGACAAAAATAACAAATCGGATGAACAATATATATGGGAGCTATAGCTATATCTGAACCGATTTCGGTTTTGGTGGCCATTGTGCGGTGGAAATGAAGCGACGAACCTCATTTTGTAACCATTCTTGGATGGCGCGTGCTGAGTGCGATGGTGCTGAGTCCTGTTGGAATGTCCAAGTTCTGCGGCCAAAATGCTGCGTGCCCAAGGCTTTAAAACACCCTCCAGAATATTTTCGCGATAATATTCGGCATTTATTCTGAAGCCACGGTCGATTAATGCGAGCGGAGAGTGACCATCGGTCGTTATGGCGACCCACACCATCACCATGACTGCGCTTGAGTTCTGGTGGCCAACCGAAGGTTCACATTTTCAGCTGACCTCTTTGAAAAGTCAACACGATCACTTTGTTTGTGTACAAAATGCTGGACAACGAATGTTTTCTCATCGGAGAAAACCAAATTCGGCAGTTTCCCAGTTTCGGCCAAGTGAAGCAACTCCTTAGCTGTTTTGAGTCTATTTTCTTCCTGTTGCGGTTTAAGTTCTTCCACTTTTTGGAATTACAATGGCTTTGCCCCGAGCTCATTTTTCAATATTTTTTATTCGCTTGTAAACTGTCACTGGAATAATTTTAACAGCTGTCGGACGAGTGCCTACAAATAACAGCAGTCTGAAGTTGGTTGCATATTTTCCATCTCACCCTGTACAATTATTATTTCGATGAGTTACAAACGGAATGACGAACTTTATATTCCCTCCATACTATGTATGGTGGATAGTAAAAAAATACCTTTACATAGGACTAATATTGATCATTTCCGGCTGGAAGGGAGCCAGAAATGAAAAAATGCACCTGATTCTCTTGGAAATTTTGCTGAAGATCTGAAAATCACATATATGAATTCAGCTCTGTGCTGATCTATGTTGCCCATTATAAATACCAATCATTTCAAACAAGGTCTATCTGAGCGCCATTTTGATTTCAAAATTCCTCCTGTAATTTTATATTTTGGGCCTGTAGTTTGACATTTTTGGTTTGTGACGGCATTTTTAGTTCTCAGGGAATAGAAAGTTCCCTGTGGAACTGTAGCTTAGCATAGGCCCTTTAAAGCGGTTCCGACCATCTATAGATATTTTAAAGGCCCTATACCACTATGAGGGGTATTATTCACACGCATATACTTTAGTCATGTATAATTTGTGATATTAAAAATTGCATATATATTTCCACGATTTTTCATTGCCATATAACGGGATTTTAGTTGTATTTTTAAATCTAATTGGCTGTAGATCGGCAGTGTATATTCCCAGAGGACAAAAAAATCGTTACAAAGAACTGTCCATATAGGTGGTGTGGATGCCATAAATGCCTTGGACACAGACACATTTTTCAATGGAATTTCCCAAATTTAGTATTTTGAGTTCTCAATAGATAAAATTTTTATGGCAGATAATTGTTAATGTAGGTCCACTCCATACAAGGTTACCCTCGACATTATTATTAGACACATTATTTTACGCAATATTTCCCAAATTGGTATTTTGAGTTTGAAATAGGTCGCACTTTCTGGACCATTCTTTCGTATAGCCCTCTTATAACAGAAGAGATCGAATCTCGGTATTTTAATGATTTAAGTCATATTTAAATAGAATTGTTTGCACTGAAGTTCGTTTTGGATGGTAGGCAATTTTGTATACAGTCCCAGCTTTATACATAACCCCAATATAAGTAGACTTTCCAATATTTGGTGAAGTGAAATAACTGTCTGACTGACCTAGAATAACGGCCAAACGGGCTGAAGTTAAATCTTGAAATTTTGCACGAACGTCCGTCTTGGTGCGCAGGCGTGTTAAAAGGCTGGGTTTTTGGGATTTCGTGCTAAAAGTGCACAAAAGGTATCAAACTGTACTAAAAATTTAATACTTTGTTTTGGACAAACGGAGTAAGCTAGAAAATTCAAAAAATATACTAAACTTCTAAAATGGTACCATTTGGGAATGTGTCAACGGCTAGAACTTAAAACTTGAAATGTGGTATTAGGAAACAATTTTGAAAACTATGTTTGACAAAAGATGGTGATTTTGGAAATGTGTACTTAATGTGCGTTCTGTACTAAATAGAACTAAATTTGGAACAGTTTGGTTTAGAGTGAACGGATGAAGCTGTAATTTTGAAATTTTGTATTGGGGTCCCTGTTGGTGGTAGGTTTGTTATAATGAGGTGGTTTTGGAAATGTGTACTACAAGTGAAAAAAAAACAAGTAAAAAAGCTGTAAGTTCGGTCGGGTCGAACTTTGAATACCCTCCATACTATAAAACTATAAAATCCGTTAAAAATTATATTAAAATCTTACAAATACCGAATATAGCTGTTATATTAGAGTCTATACGACGACATGAATCTGTATAGGTAGCTTTTGTCATAAGCAATTACAATATTCAAATGCGAAACTTAAAAAAAATCGGTGAATAATGTAGCTAAAATCATCAAAGTACCGAATATCGGGATATACCGTTAAATGGAAGCTATACGAAGACGTGGACCTGGACAGACAATTTTCTGTCATAGGCTGTAGTATCTATTACGAACTTCAAATACCAAATTTGAAACAATTCCGGTGAATATGGTCGCTAAAATCATCAATGTACCGAATATCGGGATGTACCGTTAAATGGAGGCTATACGACGACGTGAACCTGGACAGACAATTTTCTGTTTTAGGCTGTAGTATCTATTACGAACTTCAAATACCAAATTTGAAACAATTCCGGTGAATAATGTCGTTAAAATCAACAAAGTACCCAATATCGGGAGGTACCGTTACACGTTACGTTAGAGGTACAATTCTGATATTTAGATTTAGATTTTTTTTATTAACAAGTACATTTCCAAGCTAGATTTCATAAAAATGCACGCCAATTTTATTTATTATACCCTTTACCTTGAAAAGAGGGTATATAAACTTTATCATTCCGTTTGTAACATCCCTAAATATTCGTCGTACTCTCCATAAGTATATACAGGGTTGCCCATATTCGACGGATCCATGTTTTTTGGCCCATTCCAATCGACGAGGCTTATCCGCAGGCAACATTCTTTGCGTCAATTGAATTTTGTACGGGAACAAATGCAAATCAATGCGAATAATCCGTTGTAAAGTGGACCGAGCCATGCCCAACTGCTGAGAACGGCGTTTTTGGGCTGTTCTTGGGGACCTCTCAACACTGGCTCGTACGGCAGCGATATTCTCGGCCGATCGCCTTGGTCGACTTTTATATGATCTCTTCGGATTAGAAAGAGCCAGACCAGTCGAAAATTTTTCGTATAAACGCTTAATGGTGTTCTTAGAAGGCGCACTTCTCACATTTTTTAATGTTTTAAAAGCACGTTGAGTTTTCACAATAGACTTCTTCTGTTGAATGTAAATTTCAACTATTTCACGTGGCGTGTATTGGTTCATGGTAAAAATCTGCTTGGACTGACGCTTCAAACGCGGTATGTCATTAAGCAATGAGACATCTCTGTCAAAAGTTATGCCGTTGCCAGATAGGTCCGTCGGATATGGGCAACCCTGTATATCAAACTTACTTTCCAACCTGTGATTTAGTACCATTTTATGACTTTCATTATCTTAAAGTACGAATTTCTAGAAACCCTTCGGTACATCTATCCTGTACTCCACCAGTGCCTCAGTGTCAAATTTCTATCCCCGTACCCTTTTAGTACGAATTTCTACAAAAACAAAGACTTATCACACAGATTTATGAACCACAACTAACCCTCGTGGAAAATTTCAAGATTCTAGCTTCAGCCGTTTCGTCTGGGCGTTGATTCTCAGTCAGTCAGTTATTTCACTACACTTTTATATGCATAGACATAGACTATTGTCCAAGGAAATCTGCCACTATACATGGGATAAAATGCGGTTTCTCAAGTTATTGAAAAATTAGTTTTTTCTGTTCCCCAAAAGTAATCAAAATAAGGGATCTTCGTGCAAATTTTATAATCATTTACTCACCGTATAGCATCTGCTTGCTGATATCGTCCATCATATTCATTGAATGAGGTCGTTTGATAGCCTTCACCTTTTGCCTCTCCGCCATCGCCTTCATCCATCCAACCGTTTGGATTGCGAAAGGGATTTAATTCTGTCGGTCTATCATCTAAAAACATACGAAAATAATACAAAATTCCGAAAAAATATTTCAATTTTCTAAAACTTACCGGTAGTTCCATAGGTATTCTCATCGCCCTGGAACATGGCCTGTGTACTGTCGGGCTGTTGTGGCATTGTCGGTCTACCACCACCTGGTTGTTCATAGTCCTTCTTATCGGGCATATGTTGGCGAGCAGTCTGAACGGCTACATTGAGGATATTTTTCAAAGGTGGTAAGGGTGCCGATTTCAATTTATTTAAAAAGGCCATGATTAAATAATTCCAATGCTAGACGAAGTTCGAATGGTTGGATGTAAGGATGGATGACGGCGACGATGTACAACAATGAAAGGATGTAAAGCAGGGTGGGTTGCGATAACAGGGGTGAAGGTGGCTTTGGTTCTCTTTTGTATGTTTCTTTCGTTGGCGTTTGACTGCTGCTCTACTCTACTACAAATACGATGCTGACAACTGTGTTGCGTTGAATAATGCTTTCAAAAGGGGGCCAATTTTGTGGGTGGGGGTATTGCCAAATTTAAGTAATTTTCTTGGGGTTTTTTTAAGGAAACCTCTTTGGATAAAATGCAAGGGATACTTTTTTATCCCCAAAACCAATACCAGGGGAGTTGATTTTTTTTCAATTATAACTTCGTGGTTCCGTTGATTTTCCCCAATTCGAAAAATTTTCAATTTTTTTTCTAATGTTATACATTTTTTTCCTCCTTTGCAATGATGGCTTTGATCCACTTTTTTCCTGCTTACATTTGGCCCATTAATAAAAACGACATTTTCTCCAACACAATGACCGTTGTAGCACCGTAACCAGCAAACAATGAGTGCTGAGATGGACAGGCAGACATACAGATAGAAATCGATACAAATTATAATTTTTTTCTTTTGGATTTTGAGATTTGGTTGGTGAACACTAAAAACTGAAATGGTAGTAAAATTGTTTTTTTTAGGTTGTCAAAATTACGGCTTATATTCAAATGCTACACAAAATATTCAATATTTTCGATAGGATAATAACTTGAACTACATTTTTATGAATTTTTTGATTGAAAATATAAAATGTTTCAATGGAATATTTACTCTTTTTTATGTAACGTTATAACAAGTAACTAACGCCAACAAAATTTAGTGTAAAATGTGGATTTCTATCCTTCGTTTTGCCTTACATTGCCAAAAAAATTTTCATAGTTGTCGTTGAACGCATGCTCCCGAAATTCCTCTTTGAACATCCCTAATGGAAACGTTAAGGATGCACCATTCACAATGGCATTTGTCAACAGGGATGTATAAGTGTTTTGATTGCGTTGAAATTCCGTTACAATGGTGGTGGTTAAATATGTAACAGGGTGTTGGTGAACATCTGGTGGTGAGTATTTTTTGGAGTTTAATGATTCAAAATAATTTTTCTTGCAAAAAATTCTCTAACTTTTAAATGTATAGATATATCATGATACCCTCCAACTTGGAAAGGAGGGTATATTAACTTTGCCATTCCGTGTGTAACATCCCTAAATATTCGTCGTAGACCCCATAAAGTATATATATTCATAATCAGAATAGAATTCTAAGTTTATTTGTCGATGTCCGTCTGCTTATCTGTTGAAATCACGATACAACCCACATTATTTGACGTAGAGCATCAAAATTTAGCAGAACAAGTTGTATTGTGTCTAGGATGATTGGTATTGAAAATGATGACGTGGTATATCTCATCATTTTCAATACCAATCATCCTAGACACAATACAACTTGTTCTGCTAAATTTTGATGCTCTACGTCAAATAATGTGGGTAGTATCGTGATTTCAACAGATAGACAGGTATAGCTCCCATATAACAGTACCTCCCGATATTCGGTATTTTGATGGGATTTGTCACATTTTTTAACGGATTTGTTATAAAAATGGTACTTGTGGATCCTAATGGGTTCTAGCTCCTTTGGCGAAACATTGTATGTATAGGTTCACGCTTTTGTATAGCCCCATATAGCGGTACCTCTCGATATTCGGTATTTTGACGATTTTTTGTCACATTTTCCCATGAATATGTCTAAAAATTGGTATTTGTGGGTCATAATGGGTTCTAATGTTTTCTTTACCCTAAAGTAGAGGGTACTAAAAGTTCGGACCGGCCGAAATTATTTTTTTTTACTTGTTTTTACTTTCACAATAGATATACCGGACTGAGTTTCATAAAATGGAAAAATTCGGTTGAATATTGAACAAGTAAAAAAGCTAAGTTCGGCCGTGCCAAACTTTCTAAACCCTTGAAATAAATTGGAAAATGTTCAAAAAAAACCCATCGGGAAACACCGCTCAAATGAAAACCGTTATATGGATGTTATACGAAGACGTGGTCCTGCATAAGTAATTTGTGTCATAGACTGTAGTAACTGTTCCGAACTTTATATACGAAATTTGAAACAGTTCCAGTGAATATCGTCGCAAAAATCATCAAAATACCGAATATCGGGGAAAACCGTTATGTAGGGAATATATGATATGGTGGACCTATATATACAATTCTCTTCCAGAGGGTAATGTACTCACAAGAAACTCCTTTTGTGGATTTTTCTATTGAAAAATTTGGCTGAAATCATCAAAATACCGAATATCGGGTGTACCTTTATAAGGGGGCTATACGACATCGTGGATCTATATAGAATAAAATAAATCTAGGGGATAAAATACTCACAAGGAACTTTTGTGAGCATTTTCAGACAATTCCATTGAAAAATGTGACTTGACCTGCTTGCAGGCAGAAGACGTTTTGATTGGAGCGTGATTACAACAGACGGACGGACAGTTAAATCGACATAGAATTTTACATTGATAAAGAATATATATACTTTATTGGTTCTAAAATTATAATTTCGAAGAGTTACAAACGGAATGACCAACTTATATACCCTCCATACTATGTATGGTGGAGGGCATAAATATTTATCCAATTTGGGCTGATATTACATATATGGTGCACAATAACCGTAAAATCGGATGAAGATGTATACGAAGGTATATAAGAATCTGAACCGACCTCGATGAAATTTGGCAGAGGTATTTTAGATCTGTTTCTGATGCCCGGAACCGAGTTCAAAATTTGAAGCACTTGCTTTTAGTCTGAACTCCGTCGGAAGTCCCAAAATTCAGTACATTTGGGCTGATATTAGCATTTGCTGCACAAAAATCCTGAAATCGGACAAAGATATATATAGGAGCTATATCAAAATCTGAACCGATCTCGATAAAATTTGACAAAGGTGTATAAAGGTATACAGCACAGAAGTAAAGGGTGAGATGAAATAACTTAAACCAACTTCAGACTGATGGCTTTTCTAAGCCACTCGTCCGACAGCTGGTAAAATTATTTCAGTGACAGCACATTATATGGTTTACAAGCGCATTTTGGTGAGAATTTCCCAGCAAAAAAGTTATTCGAATTCGTAAGCAATATTCCATTCGGCAAATATTGAAAAAGGAGCTCGGGCCAAAGCCATTAAAATTCCAAAAAGTGCAAAAACTTACACCGTAACGGAAAGAAAATAGACTCAGAAGAGTTAAGAGTTGATTCGCTTGGCCGAAAGTGGTGAACTGCCGAATTTGGTTTTCTCCGATGAGAAAACATTCGTTGTCCAGCAGTTTGTAAACAAACAAAATGATCGTGTTTACTTGCCAAAGAGGTCAGCTCAAAATGTGCACATTCGGTCGCCAGCAGAACTCAAGCGTCGGCAATGGTGACCGCCGATGGTCGCTCTCCGCTCGTATTAATCGACCGTGGCTTCAGAATAAATGACGAATATTATCGCGAAAATATTCTGCGGGGTATATTAAAGGCTTGGGCACGCAAACATTTGGCCGCAGACCTTGGACATTCCAACATGACTCAGCACCATCGCACTAAGCACGCGCCCAAGAATGTTTACAAAATTAGTTTTCTCGCTTCATTTCCAGCGCACAATGGCCATAAAAATCTCCGGATACCAATCCGTTGGACTATTGTGTCTGAAGTATTTTGGAAAGCAAGGTTGACACTAAAAATACGAAAGTGTCGATCACATCAAGCAAGCGCTTTGCCGGGAATGGGCCAAAATACCGATGAGCAACATTCGGGCAGTGTGTGACGGTTTGAAGGTCATAATTCGTGCCAGAGGTGACCAATTCGAACAAATCTAAACTTATTCTAAAATTTGATGATATTGTCGACATTTCTAGCTTTCATTCAATAAATTTAAAAAAAAAGTAAAAATTATGGCGTTTAACTTTGTTGCAGTTTTTTTATCTCACCCTGTATATACCCTTTATACTATGTATGGTGAAGGGTAAAAAAAGGTATCCAATTTGGGCTGATATTACATATATGGTGGACAATAACCGTAAAATCGAATGAAGATATGAAGAAATACCATCATATGAGGTTTATACTAAAAAGTAGGAATATTCTTGAAATGATGTTTTCTTCTTTCTTAAACCTCTAATTACCAAAGAAGGCCGAAAAAAAGTTTTAAAAATATGGCTAAAATATTAAAATACTTGAAATCGGGGTATACCCGGCATGACCTAGATTTTGTTAAAATATTACATCTAACCCATACATTTATCGAAGTATAGATCAAAATATTTCAGGCCCTTTGTGTATGGCTAGGACCCCTTACCTAAGTTTGGTCTGGGAACCCAAAACCCTTTTTGGGATTTTGATCTACTAACCGAATACTATCCACTTAGAATTTCCCAACGCATAGTCCCTGCTATGTAAGTACCTTGAAGGTTTCGGAAGAATTTTCGGGGGATATTAAACCTGTTCCTTACTAAGTTTTCAATTGGCTCAACATTTTGTATAGTCCGCATATTGCAATGCCTCTTTATATTCGGCATTTCACTGATTTTGAGTTCACATTGGACGGATTATTGAAAGAAGAGAGTCCACTTTTTGATATAAGCTCCATACAGCCGAGTCGGCCATTTTTGCTTGTTTTGTGTTGGTCCTGGGGTTGGAAAGCTAGATGTCAATTTTAGTCAGGAAATATCACCATTTAACTTTGTATTGTACACTAATTTATTTTTCTTCATATTTCATTCAGAATTCAAAGCAAAAAAACAGTAATAAAATAAACAAGTAAAAAAGCAGTATGTTCGGCCGGGGCGAACTTTGAATACCCTCGACCATTTGGAAATTTTCGAAACAGATAACATTCGCCAAAAATTCTGTTAACATCTTAAAAATACGGAATATAGCCGTTATATTAGGGCCTGTACGACGTGGACCTACATAGGCATTGTTTGCCATTAGCCATTACTATATTCAAATTCGAAACTTAAAATATACGGTGAATAATGTAGGTAAAGTCATCAAATTACGTATATATCGGAGCTATACGAAGACCTGGACCTGTATAGACAATTTTCTGTCACAGGCTGTAGCTTCCATTAATAACTTCAAATACGACATCTCAAACAATTTCGGTGAGTATTGTACCTAAAATCGTCAAAATACCGAATATAGGGAGGTACTGATATATGAGGCCTATACGAAGACCTGGACCTGCATAGACAATTTTCTGTCACAGACTGTAGTTCCCATTACGAACTCCAAATGCGTAATTTGAAACTACTACGGTGAATAATGTACCTAAAATCATAAAAATGCCGAATATAGGGAGGTACCGTTATATGGGGTCTATACGAAGACCTGGTCCTGCATAAACAATTTTCTGTCACAGGCTGTAGCTTTCATTACGAACTTCAAGTACGACATCTCAAACACTTTCGTTGAGTATTGTACGTAAAATCGTCAAAATACCGAATATAAGGAGATACTGATATATGGGACCTATACGAAGATCTGACCCTGCATAGGCAATTTTTGAAAGTATATAAAAATCTGAGCCGATTTCGATGAAATTTGGCAGAGGTATTTTCGAGCTGTATCTCATGTCCGGTATCAAACATCCTTGTTGTGGAGTACATATTACGCATGTGAGGGACTTTAACGCCAAATCGGATGAAGCATATATAGGGCAGCTATAGCTATATCTCAACCGATTTTTTATGTACTTGCTTCTAGACTGAGTTCGATCGGATGTGCCAAAGTTCAGGTCATTTGGACTGATATTGGCCATTTGGTGCACAATAAACTTGAATTCGGATGAAGATATATATGGGAGCTATATCCAAACCTAATCCGATCTCGATAAAGGTATTTTAGGCTGTGTATAATAGCTGGTATCAAATATTATTCTTCTGCAATGTATTTTACGCATTTGAGGGAGTTATTGTTCCGGCATATCTGGGTCAAAAAGTGGATATTGGTGAGAAAGTGAATATTTTTGGTACGGCTTCTTTAAAAAGTCTAGTTTTTCCCACATTCCGTAGAAGGGCTTGACGCACGCAGGATTGACAGCAGCAATTAAATGATTCTGCTTCTTTAAAAGTCTAGTTTATCCCGCATTCCGTTATCCTTCCAATGAGCAAAAAATAAAAATAGTGATTCAAGATATGTTCAATCGATTTTCTTTTATTTACAAAATTCACTTTATATCAAAATAAACAATATTCGTTTACACAATAGATTTTCATTTTTAACAAGATGCAATACTGGGATGGATATCTCATGAACGAGTGGAATGATACAAACAAAACTTGCTACACACATACAAAAAAAAAAGATTACAACTACTATTGATACTAATACAGTATAAATGAATTTATTTTTTATAAATTAAAGAAGAAAAGCAAAAAAAAATGTTTTATATACGATTAAGTTGAATGACGCAGGATGTTGTGGTCCAACGAAATTTGCGGAATAACTCCCCAAATAAAATCAATTACTATAGCAGGTTTTGCGTACACCAGCCAAAATATTACTAATTTCTTCATCACGCCTCGATTCGATAAGCATTTCTCCCACACCCAAAACTGTGCCCGAGTTTGGAACCGTTCCGAAAACTTGCGGATGATGATGGTGATTATGGGCATGGTGATGATGATTGTGCGGATGGCTGGCATAGGAAGACGTTGTTGACGACTGTACAAGGCTGGCGGGCAAGGAAGGCGTTGTTGCGGCACTGGAAGTTGTTTGTGTCATATTGATTCCGCCACCAAGTTGCGAGGGTGAATTGTTACCACTATCCCCGATGTGTGACATTTGTGTCGACAACTGGGGACTGTAATGATTATAATGAAGGTAACTTTGGTTTTGATTGTGAGAGGCGACCTGACCATAAACTCCCCCTGCCAATGAACTCTGCTGCAATGGCAGGGCCAGTTGGAGGGGAAACGATTGCCCAGCCAACGAGTAAGGCAACTGACTATAGTAGCTACCACTGGAGGTAGATACCACCATGGGATTGAAGGTTTCATAGCTGTCGTAATTGTGATTGGTGTCGGGATATTTGGTCTGCTTCAAAGCATTGATACTCTTGAGAGTTTCATCTTCAATATTGCCGGCATTATTTTCACTTGATGCCGAGACGTAATCACTATCGACAAATTGGGATCCATGGGCAGCGGCTGCATGGGCACTGGAGGTATAACGCAAATAATCCTCATAGGTAACATTTGGGCTTACGTTGTAGGCATTGGAGGCTACCAAATAATCTCCGGATGGTGACACACCTGTCTGTGCGAGACGCGTCGAATCTAGCGCCGAAAAATTGATGTCGCTTTGATGCAAATGCTGTGAGCTATAACCCAAATGCATGCCACTGCCACCGGAGGAGTTGGCATGGGCCATTGACGTTGTATGGCTGCTCAAGTGGTGTTTATCCTCATCCAGACTCGATACAGGCGGATAAAACGTACCCTTAACCGAATGGCCATGGTCCAATAGACCACGATTTGTACAGGTCACATACATGCCGCGTCCGGCCACCACTGACATCGATGTGGCACTTAGCGGGTATGTATGGGATGAGATGGATGTTTCAGCGCTGTCTTTACTTTGTTTTTGTGACTCTTTTGAGTGTTTCGTTGAGTTTGTGTTGCTGCCTGTGCGATTTCTGCCCTGGTTCTTTGGCGAACCCGTTAAGGTAGGGTTTCTTGAGCCAATTTTCTTGTAGGTCGCTGAAGAATTAGGCGATGCAGTGCCATTCGACTCCTCAATGGCAAAACTACTTCCCGCCCTCCCTGAACTCAATTCCGCACTTTGTGCCGTCGCTGAGGGGGGTTGACAATTTAAATATTCCCCATTATCAGCTCCACCTCCCGCTCCTCCTCCGCCGCCTGTTAATTCCGGATTACTATAACAATCCAAAGAACTGGGAGAATAGTTCGATCTTAAGGTCTGTTCATAAAGACTGGTGGTGACGGCCCCACTTGTCGGTGGTAATTGTATTTGCGGTGTGGAGTTCCTTTGATTTGAACTCGTTTCATATGTCCCCGAAGACATGGAGTTTGAGGGTGGTGTTGCCGCCGATTTTTGTTGGTTATTCGCGCTTTTATTGGGCGATTGACCCCCATTGGGGTTGGTTCCATTTTGTTCCTTTGCCACGCCATTGGGTTGCAGGGAACGCATTTTTGATTGTTTCCTTCGCCGTGGACGATATTTGTAGTTGGGATGTTCCGTCATATGTATAACCCTGAGACGTTCAGCTTCTTCCACATAGGGTCTACGATCTTGAGGTGTTAGAGATCGCCACTTTTTACCTGAGGAGAAAAAATGAAGAAGAAAATGTAATTAATTTGAATATAAAATAGATGTGTTCGATAACTTATCCAATAAAAATTACTTAACAATTTGGACTGAAAGAATTTTTTTTCTCGCCTACAAAGATTTTGAAAAAAGTTGTTCAGAAAAATTAGATATGAAAAAATAACACTGTGCAACACAATGTGAAAGTAGAGCTAAAACTGGAAGTTACGTGTATTGGCATTTTGAAAGTTTACATAACAAAGTAATCTAAAAAGATTCCTTGGAATGCATACATTTAACGCAAGTTATGGTATTCAACAAATTTACTTGTGTCAAAAAGTCAAAATCTTATTTTAATGTCTGGAATTCAAAATACTCCTTAAAAGAACGACATGAAAGGCTAAATTATTCTTCAATAAATTCCACTACAAGTCAACTAGAAAATGAAATCTCTATTTCCAAATATATCAGGAAAATATTTTCATGATTTCAAATTAATTGTGCACCAAATGGGCAATACAAGGCCGAATTTAAAAGATACAAATGCTTCGGCATATTTAGTCCTTTGAACTTTAAATTATAATTATGATCATAGCGTGTATGATTGAACTCTCCCATAAAAACTTTTAATTGTTATGTGGAGCTCTACTAAATTAGCAAAGTGGTGTAGGGTATCAAAAAGTCGGCCACGCCCGACTTTAAGACTTTCTTTACTGGTTTTTGATTAATTTTTCATCTGTCTTTTAGTAATCAAGTAATCTTTTAGTAATTCATCAAATTTAGTAATATTCAAATCTAATAATATTAGAGTCGCCGCAAATTTTCTTTTCAGTTTCAGATTTCAAGCACTCTCTGTTCACACAATACAAAATTGTATCAAATACAGTTCTATTTAGTACTTTCCGTGCACCTGAAACACACATTTCCAAAACCACATCTTTATCACAAAACTACCGTCAACAGGGAGCCCAATACTAAATTTCAAAATTCTGGCTTTTCCCTGCATCCTAAACCTATCTGTCCTAAATTTATTACCATTTAGTACAGTTTGCACATTTAGTACATATTTTTAAAACCACCTTTATATATCAAACTAAATTTGTAACTACATAAGAAGCTTGAAGTCATGGATAGGCATATTTTGTGACATTTCATAAAGGGATTACAGAGCCGCACTAAAATTCTGCCGTCGTTTTCCATTATAATTTGACATTAATATGCCTAGCCATGGCTTCAAGATTTTTATGTACTTGCACCTTTACTTTCCAACCGTGATTCTCAAATGTCAAGTTTGTAGCTCTATCCGTTCACATACTACCAAATGGATAGAAGTTTAGTAACATTTTGGAACTGTTCGTAGCTAGCTCATTTCGTTTGTCTAATACGAAGTATTTAAATTTTAGAACATTTTAATACTTTTCGTACCATTTTAGTACGTAATTCCAAAAACGTAGCCTTATAACATGTATACGCACCAAGACTGACCCGTATGTAAAATTACAAGATCCTACTTCAGCCGTTTCGTCTGCGCGTTGATTCTCGATCAGTCAGTTATTTCACAACTCTTTTATTAATTTAGATAACAAGCTGAACCCAGTGCGCTTTTATATACAAATATTTTGTGGTTAAAAAAAACAAATTCGTCATCATCGCTACATCGACTCCAAATGTCCTGAAATGGATATGGTCCAAAGAGATCGTTATTTCGATGAGGCACGTTTTGGCCGTATCAAAGGAAATATACCTTCTCTAGCTGGCTGAGGGTATAATAAGCACAAAACAGTAAAACTGGGAGCCAGCAACGCGGATCCGGTCATTTTTCTGCATAAAAATAAATTTTATAATATTTTCTACTTTTCATTTATCTATTAAAAATGATAAAACCAATAAGTAACCAAACATAACCAAGAAACCAAAATCTCCACCACCCATGTTATAAGAAATTTACTTTCTCCGACTAAACAGTACAACGCCAAGTTTTGCATGCATTACGAAGTACATGTCGCCTGGCGTTTTGGGATGGGTCCATACAGTTGGTCTCTAAAGGGTTGATCGCAACTCTCCCTCCATCTCAGGCTTCTGGGACAATCAGTACGGCTAACGTCATTCTGTGGGTAATTATTAGAAACTCAGACCCAGTATGGTAATTTTTAAAATGGTAATGATTTAAAATGGCATTACCTTGAGTTGTAACAGTCTTTATACCCTACAACACTTTGTGTTGGGGGTATTAAAAGTTTGATTGGGCCAAAAATTATGTAACACCACGAAATATCTCACCGACCTGAGTCGATCTAGCTATGTATGTCCGTCCGTCCGTCTGTCCATGTGAATTTGTAATCACTCTACAGGTCGCAATTATGGCCCGATTTTCACGAAATTTAAAATGTAGGTGGGGTTATGGTCAGAATAGAACCCTATCGTTTTTGGAGATAATCGCATATTTAAGGGTTGAAATGGACCAAAAACAGAAAAATTTCCTGATTTTGCACTTGCTCTATAGGTCACAATTATGAACCAATCGACGCGAAAATTTATATGGAGTTACAGTTTAGGAGTGGGCAGTAGCGGGTAAAATAGACCCTAACTTTTATGTAAGAAAATAGGAAAATGTCCACTAAACCGCGAATATTGTCAATCCCAGCCAAATCACAAATACATTAAAAGAGCACTTCTGATCGTTAGAGTGACGCTAATAGCCAAGACATCGGATATATAGCAAAATAGGTACAATATATATGTAAAAGAATTGATCTTATTTATTCTGGTTATAAATCAAGAACCGCTGGGCCGATTTCCACAATTCCGATCAATTCGGAATGGTCTCTTGCCATAAAACGATGAAATATAAGAAAATCGCGGAAAAATATACCAATATATCGCATGCGATTTTTTCAATTTGACTTACAATTTTGAATTGTAAATTTTCTAAAATTTTACACCCCCCAACACTACGTTTTGAGGGTATTATACTCATATCGCAATTATCGTCCGATCCACACGAAATTTTGCATGGGGGTAGGGTCAAAATTAAAGCCTATTGTTCTTAAGATGTGCATTTAGAGGTGCAAATAGACTAAAAAAAATATTTTTTTTTTCTAATTTTTTTAGTCGCCCACAATTGAAAACTAATCGACACTCTGGCGAATATTTACTCCTTATTTGAACTGAACTGTGTAACTGAGCAATAATTTCGTTTTCTCTTGCTTTTTTTTTCATGTATAAAACGAATTAGAATGTGATTCAGTGCAGATTTATAGGTCTAGCTGTTTGCCAAAACACGTAAATAAATTACCACTTACCACTGTGTGGCGAATGAATCTATATCTATGGTCAAAGCCAATATATTCCTAGAGAACACTAAAAATGGGAAGTAGAACGCGTAAACACGCGTATCTAAGATGCATTCTAACAAAATATACAAACATACTTACCCAACATTTTACTCAAATCCGCATTATGCAAATCAGGATTCTCATCGGCCAATTTTTTACGTTCGATTTTGGCCCAGACCATAAACGCATTCATGGGCCTTCGTATTCTAGCTTCTTTGGCACATTTAGACTGATTGTTGGCGACAGCACGAAATTTAACTTCGTTGACTAATTTGTGACGTTGATCCAGATAGCTGGCATTGGCGGCACACAGTTCACCTTTGTAATCATAGGCCCACATGGGGCTATCCATTAAAGTACCGGACATCACACCACCACCGGCGCCGCCGCCGCTAGCACCAAGGCCCACCGATGATGTTGCGACACCCATGTGCCCAGCATAATCCTCGGTATCCGAAGACATTGCAATCGACATCATATTTGGATGCGTTAAATATTTATTGAGCATTGTGGCCGAGGATGCTGCTGAATTCGCATTGGCTAGCATAGAGGGTATGTTGGAACCAATTAAATGCTGAGATGTTTGTTGCTGCTGTTGCTGATGCGGATGGTGTTGTATGTGCTGTGAATGTGTTGTATGTGATCCAGGCGAAGGTGTTGAGGCGACCATATACGAATTGGACATTATTACCGAATTGTGACACTGCGAGGTCAAAGGTAACGACACGGCAACAACACTACTTGGATCTGGCGCATTATGAGGATCACCGTCATAACTGTTGTGGTTGTGCGTAGGTGTAGACCTTGAGGTGGAATGATGATGTACTACCGGTGAGTGGAGGCTAGACGAGGAATGTTCACTGCCATGCCGATATTGGTAGGCAATATCTGTTGTGCTGCTGTTGGGGCCGCTTGCAGCCGCTGTTTCATGTAGCGAACCTAAACGACCGTCGGCAAGAATTGCATTTGCAGTTTGCTCATGAAGTTCAGCGCCATTACCGCTGCCACCGGTCACGGGGTTGTTGCTGCTGCTGTTGTTGTATTCTGGGGTACGATTTATGGGTGAATTGTATTTTTTTGAACTAAAAGTAGAAAAAAGAAGAAAAACGAAAAAAAAAATGTTAAAGAGTTCAGTTCAAAATAAAAAACAAAAGCGAAAAGAACGCTAAGTACAGGAGTTGAAGTTAAGTTAGTCGGTAGATTGCTGACAGTGAGTGCATGAAGAAAGTGTGTTTCTAAGGGGTTTAATATAAATTTAACAAATGTCGCCTGGCCAGACAAAGGAGCAATGTAGAACGTATTTCACGCGACGAACAGGGGCGTAGATAGTAGTGGCAACCCGAACAGGAGGTTAGCAATAAATGACCCATTAAGCAAAAATATTCAATAAAGAAATGTAAGCACTTTTAAAAATATTTGAATAAATCTCTTGGCAGCATAGCAAAATTGTCACAGGTAACAAGAAATTACGCTCTTTAAATTGTTTATAAGTTATCTATCGATTTTACCCTTACATTTTATTGCACACCTATATAAATGTTGTATACTATTATTACGTATATCAAAATTAATTTGTCGGTGAGCTGAGTCGGTCTTGTTATGTATCCGTCCATGTAAATCTTACAAGCCTGTTTGGTACTAATCGGATAATTTTTATGAGACGAAATCGGCCAGGAGCTTTTATCGGATAAATGAGCAAATTTCTATAACTAAACTTGACCATTTTGGAACAACAAAATACTATGGTATCTCGAACAAACATGTCAACACTGTTCCAGTGTTTCCTTTTTCGGAAAGAATAGTAGGAAAATTTTCATCGTTTACAGCAAAAAGTCTTCAAAATCTTTAATTTTGAAGTTTACAGAGGAGGAACCAAAAACTATTTCAATGTCTCCATATGTGAACCCATGGTATAATTATTACAGGTAACAGCAAGTTTCAACTGATTTGACTCTATAGTAGTACTAGTGTCAAAGTCGATATGACGTTTTGTGATTTAATTCCATTTCTTTATATACAATAGGTATACCCTTTTTATACCCTACAACACTATGTGTTGGGGGTATTATAAGTTTGATTGGCCCAAAAATTATGTAACACCTCGAAATATCGGTTTCCCACATAGGAAAGTATATATGGATCATCCTATCTCGCCGAGCTGAGTCGATCTAGCTATGTATGTCCGTCCGTCTGTCCGTCTGTCCGTCTGTCCATGTTAATTTGTAATCACTCTACAGGTCGCAATTATGGTCCGATCTTCACGAAATTTGGAATGGAGATCGGGGTAGGGCCAGAATAGAACCCTATTTCTTTCTGAGATGATCGCCAAATGTTTAGGGGTTGAAATGGACCAAATACTGAAAAAATGTCGGATTTTGCAGTAGCTATACAGGTCGCAATTATAGACAACGCGGAATTTCGCATGTAGCTAGAGTTTAGGGCGGGGAAGAAGCCTACTAATTTGATTGGCCATCGGATAATATTTAGCGGGTAAAATAGATCATATATTTTGTGTTGAAAAAATTCAAAATTTTTCATTAAACCGCGAATATTTTAAATCCCGGCGAAATCACAAAGCCATGACAAGGTTACTTCTGACCTTTACATTGATGTTAACATCCAACAAATCGGATATATAGCAAAATATGTGCGATATATATGTCTATCAAAGAAGATATGATTGAAAGATCTCATATATGTCGAGAACGGCTGAACTGATTAATTCATTATGGCCTCTCGGCAGGAAAGAAAAAACGTCTAAAAAAATCGCATAAAAATATCTTTTTAAAGATAAAAATATTGATTTTGTAAAATTTTCTCATATTTTTTCAATTTTGTCATATTTTTGGCAAATTTTCATTTTGAATTAAACATTTGGTAATATTTTTACAGCTAACAAAACTAAGTGGTTAGGATATCAGGATATCATATACAGATCGCATTTATGGCCCAATCCTTACGAAATTTTGCATGGGGATAGGATGAGGGTCAGAATAGAAGCCTACTCTTTTTGGAGATGATCGCCATATATTTAGGGGTTGAAATGGACCAAAAAACTGCAAAATGGTCGGCAGGTCGTAATTATCGCTAGATCCTCACGCATTGCAAAAACCAAGCAGTTTTGGATAGCCATCCAAAAATATTCAATGTGTGAAATAGTTTGCCAACTTTTGTAGACAAAATACGAAAATGTCCATTCCAGTGACTTTTCGGAGAATTCACAAATTCGTTTAAGAATATAGTCAAATGTCTGTATCTCATATAGATGTGTTTCAGTCAAAAACCAATAATAAATGTTAATCTTTTGCCACTTCTGAGAGATTATAGGTCTTTGGGAAATATTGGTTCCAGATCTAGGAAGACCGTTTACGTGCAACATCTACCAATAAATTGGAAATGAGCAAATTAGTTTAAGTTGCTATTATTCGAAAATTATAGAACGAAACCTGATGGTTTTCTTTTATAATTTGTCACAATATCTTGTGGAATTCTTTCGAGTATCTCGCCTATATAAACTGTATCGTTTATAGTAGTGTTGTAGGGTATTCAACGGTCGGCCCCGCTCGACTGTAGCCTTTGCCTACTTGTTTTGATATAAAATTCCACTGCAGGGCTATATGAACATATTTTTTGCCTAGTAATAGAAAAAAATCGCCGTTGTCCTTAACAAAACGCCAAAGGCGATGGTTCCGTAACTTTTTTGCGGTTAAGGTCGCTGTTCCAACAGCTAACAGGGGAATAATGTGAAAGCATTAAAATTAAATATTTTAAGAAATATTCTTCTGCATTTTCACACTGACACTTATATTACATACAAAAATAAAATTGTTTGTGGTTGTTGTTACGATTGTTGTACAACAATACTTGCTGTTACCTGTAATTTTTCTACCAAGATGTGAACCCTATATTAAATTTCAGAGTTGTATATCTATCCCTTCACCCAATACCAAATTTAATACCATTTAGTAATTTTCGTTCTCAATACATAATTTTAAAATTCAGCTGTTCACAATAAACCAAACTTTCATATTTACAGGGTGAGATAAAAAAACTGCAACAAAGTCAAACGCCATAATTTTTACATTTTTTTTTAATTTAATTGAATGAAAGCAAAAAATGTCGGAAATAGCATCAAATTTTAGAATATGTTTAGATTTGTTCGAATTGGTCACCTTTGGCACGAATTATGGCATGAAACCGTCATACGCTGCCCGAAAGTTGCTCTGCGGTATTTTGGCCCATTCCCGGCGAAGCGCTCGCTTGAGGTGATCGACTCTTTGGTATTTTTTAGTGCCAACCTTGCTTTCCAAAATACTCCAGACACAATATTCCAATGGATTGATATTCGGAGATTTTGGTGGCCATTGGAAATGCAGCGAGGAACCTCATTTTGTAACCATTCTGCGGCAGAAATGTTTGCATACCCAAAGCTTTAAAACTCCCTCCAGAATATTTTCGGGAAAATATTCGGCATTTATTCTGATGCCACGGTCGATTAATACGAGTGGAGAGCGAACATCATCACCATGGCCGGCGCTTGAGTTCTGGTGGCAAGTAAACACGATCATTTTCTTTGTTTACAAGCTGCTGGACAAAGAATGTTTTCTCATCGGAGAAAACCAAATTCGGCAGTTCACCACTTTCAGCCAAGCGAAACAACTCTTTAGCTCTTTTGAGTCTATTTTCTTTCTGTTGCGGTATAAGTTCTTGCATTTTTTGGAATTTCAATGGCTTTACCCTGACCCCATTTTTCAATATTTGCCGAATGGAATATTGCGATATGTTCAGCTCACGAGTCATTTTCGGCCACTGCGACGCGGGTTTCGATGTTGCTGTTTTCTTCCGTCCACTTCCTTGACGTCGGGCTACGTTACCAGTATCACGGTAATGAGCGATGGTACGAGACACAAAAGATTTATTCACATTTAAATGCTGGAGTGCCCTTACGATAGCCACTTGTGGTTTTCACACTATTACGCTTGAATTCCGTCACAAATAACTTTTTTCTGGAAAATTATCATCAAAATGCTTTTAAACGCTTGTGAACTATATAATGAGCTGTCACTGGACGAGTGGTTTGGAAATGACAGCAGTCTGTAGATGGTTGCAGCTTTTTCATTTCACCCTGTATATATAACAAATTTTTGATTCTCATACCAAATTTCAAGTTTTTAACTGTAGAACTTTTCGAATTTCCAAAAACCCCTTGTTACATCTACCCTGCACTCAATCAGCGGCTTTCATTCCAAATGTCAGAATTCTAGCTCTTTCCTTTTATCAAATACAAAGTGTTAAATTCATAGTACCTTTAGTATGTATTTCCAAAAGCCGAGCCTTATCACACGCACCATGCATATAGTTCAAGATTCTAGCTTCAGCTGTTTCGTCTAGCCAATAAATCCCTAATATATGGACATTTCGTCGTATGGGGCATTCAGAGTTAAACTACGTACAAAGAACCCGTGTTGGTGCGTTTGAAAGCTATGTGACCTCAGCTGTGTTATTGTCCCTCCTACTACAAGTGCTTGTAATAAACGACATCCATAAAGTTTGACAGTATTGAGATGCTGTTTCCAAGCAGAGATGAACTAAACTGAGCCAAGCAACCTCTAATCGGTCTGTCGATATATACTGACGGACCAAAGATGAAAAAAGATACCGGAGCCGGAGACTTCCGTGAGCAAATAGGAATCGCCTACTCCTACAAGTAGGATGGAAAATGCAGCGTTTTTCAGGCAGAGATTGTTTAAAACTATGGAAAATGAAATAACTAAATCAATTACTATATATCAATTGCGATGCAGTGCAGAAGTGTAGAACGATTCTGAAAAATCGGCACACGACTCTACCAAGTCATTGTAATATTGAAGGGAATGAGAAGGCCAATGAATTAGCAACGAAGGGCTTGGAGTCTTTGAAGTCACCGACATGTTAAAACCGACATTTTAATAGACGAACAAACCACTGTGCAAGGTATCAAAAGCATCTGGCCAGATAAAGGGTGTCCCAAATAGAACGCCATTTTGAAATTTGGCGCCATTCGAAGTGTTATTGCTTGGCGTTTAAACAGTTCTTATTGTCT